GAGGCTTGCTGGCTGGTGCCGGGCGGTCGTGTTGCAAAAGCGAATTTGCTCTGGCTGGTTTTGCTCGTGAAAACTTGGTGTGCAAGGTGGTGCTTCAAGACGCCGAAGTCTACGCCCTTGCATCAGGATGGATACACCCATGTGCGAGGACCGACCAAAGTAAGACCGCTTACCACGAAGTAGGACACGACGTTCCGCGGCAAGCCACTCCGGCAGACAAGAGACTTGTCATCACGTTCTGTGATAATCGGGATGCCGTATTGTCCACAAAGGAGCGCTTTCCCTCGATCATTCGAATATAAAGTTATAAACATCCTCAAAATCAGCGTGAAACTCCGTGGCGCTCACCTAGAATGCCTCGAACGGCCCACAAAAGGAACGATTCAGGTATTTCTAGTTTGGAAAAAGTTTGGTGTCGATTGTCAGCACTGTTTACGGAAAGTCGCCAACAGCAAACAATGAGAAGCTGAAGATTTAATCAAGAAATAAAGTAATCGTCGCGCCTTTCACCGTGTTTGTCGGCGCGTTTTATGCCCAAAGAGCAAAACACGAAAACCGCGTCACCAGACTTTGTTTGCCTGTGTATTTTGAAGTGTTTTGTTGACAACTCCAGTCCCACTAGGAAACAAGTTTCCTTGCCCCCGTGTTCTGCGTCGTGTCCGCCCAGGTGGGACGGCGGACTCCGACAAACAGGCTGTCTGTCGGTGTAGTCTGTCGTTCGTTGTCGTGTGTCGCTGTCGTTTGTTGCTGTTTGTCGCTCTAGTGGGACGCGGCTATCACACTGTTTACAAATAGCACCTGCAATCAAGGTTTTAAAGTTTGATCAGTTGACTCAGCGTACAGAGCCAAAGACACTTAGACTGGTGGCTCATTCAGAGTGGGTTCGGAACTACAATAGCCCAGTTCCCAGTGGTGCTGGCTAGATTTGCATCTTTCAGGCTCCTTGTCAACCCCAGTGTCACACGTAGTCGCATACCAAGCCCTTCTATAGCGTTGCAGAGAAGTTTTGTGACCAAAAGCGTAATAAAGGACTATGCTACTAGTTGAGTCAACATTTGCTGTGCTGTTGGCAGTGGGTACGACTTCTGTTTCAAGACTGGATTAATGATGCGTTTATAACATTCACATAGCCATGTCACGCCGTTTGACTTCCCCACAGGTACAACTGGCGTAGCCCATGCAGATTTCCGCACCAAGGCAAAATTCCTTGTTGCACGAGTTGCGTGATGGTGTACTACTCCTTTGACTCATGGGCCAAAGGAACAAGTCGAGGCTTGTGGCACTTGGGTTTGAAGTTTACATTTAGTGTGCATGTATGTGGGTCCGCCAAGTCCTTACTCGAAGACCCTTGGAAATTCTTTTGGCAGTCCTCGAGTCTGTGGGAGTGGCTCGGCTAATTGAAGGACACCTTAAATAGTAGTGCTTTGTGTTGTGTTAGGCGGTAGACAAGAGCAAGACCATCCTTTCTCAAGCCTCGACAAAGAGTGTTTTAATTTGTCATCTTCTTGGACCCCTCCCCTCTCTCCCTTTCTGAATGCGCAATAGACCTTTCCGGAAAATCCCAAGAGACCTTGCAACCGGGGAAATTGTGGGGCTCTTCGGATGTACGCTCGTGCCGGCTCGAACACTTTGTATATCGTAGAAGTAGCACGATTCAGTCTTTCTTATCATTAGGAGCTCAGAAAATGCTAAAAATTGAGTGAGTGGTAAAAAAAAAGTTATCACACCCTCTGTTTTGCTCTCCCTCTGCCCCCTCCGTGTTCTGAAATCACAAACTGTTAAACAAACATCAACTCCGTCTTCGCTTCTGGGACAATTCCTCGTGCCATACATCTGGACGTCGCAGTGCATAAAGTAGACGCTGGGGGTACCACATGTTTCTGGAAAGGTCTGTTGCTCACGCATCACGTAGCTTATCGAATACTTCAAACCGGTTTCTTTCAAGCAGGCTTGCTCCACGTCTTTTCACGGTCAGCAACAATGGCTCACGCTCCTTTCCCTTGAACCGCATGGAAAAATTGATATTTCCCAGAACCACCAACTTACATTGTGAATACGTCCGGAGAGCTGTTTAGGTTTAAGTCTATGCTGCCGTTCCAAGCCGACACTATCTCTTTAGAACAATTGTTGACCAAGCCTCACCATCTATGCAGATGAAGATTTCATTTACTTGAACTTCGAAGATTTCTGCCTTGGTTCAATGATCCAGATGATGACTGGATTCCACTTCCGGAGCTTGGTGCTGGGATTCGGCCAACTACTGACGGCATGCATGTATGATGTGTCCCTTTCCACCACAGAAATGGCGTGTTCAGAATTATAGCTACTTGCACCGTGCGCAACATTTTCTAGCTGTACTCGGAGATGTCTTCCGTGCGCCAGTGCTGTGGCTTGGCATTGATGAACCGTTTCATGCCTTGTGTAGGTGGTGTTTGTCCATGTGGCGAACCTCTGCCATCTCTGGAGTCCGGAAATGTGGGGTTTTCCGTTTGTGGCACACTCCACAGCAATCACAAGTTGTTGAGCCCTAGCAAAAGCGAGATCTGGTGTGGCGAGAAGGTGTCGCTAAATGGCTTCCTCACACACCCTACAAACTAACCGGTCACAAAACTTGTACGAAAATTATGTCTACTCGCAGTGCTGAGCGACACGACGCAGCACGGCAATGTAGTTGGGCACAGACTCCCCGGAAGCACTTGTCGAGTGTGAACCGGTGACCTGTTGCCTACGTCCTTAGCCCCAAATCTCCTCAAAAGCGGAGACAAAAAAAAAAAAAAAAAAAAAAGAGATTGAAAGAGGGGCGTACACAGAGGGTTGACATGCGCGGCAGAAGACTCCACGCTTCATGTCGTCCACGAACTCATCAGCCAACAAGTAGAATTAAGTCCAGCTGCTCTCTAACCTGTTTTCATTCTTCTGATGCTAATGCTGGGTGCCTCCCCTGTTGTTTATGCTCATATCCACATGTTATGTACAAAAGCAGAGGTTACATCCATTCGAACTGTCTGGATTAATGAAAGGAAAAACACAGCTGCTCATCCGAACAGATACAATCAAACGTCTGCTCCGTGTCCAGGACTTTTGGGTGCAGTTTTGAATCCGACACGAGTTCTTAAAACTGATTATTTTGCAGCCGTGTCAGTTTCGGGCTCAATTTCACATTTTGTCACATGCACACACTATTTCACAGGCACACAAGTGTGATGTAAAATTCCGACATGGTGCAAATTAAGTAAGAACAGAAGAGGTTTATTCATTGTTTACAATTGGTGTTTACAGCGAAAGGTGTCACACTTTAAGGCTATTTCACTCACCTGCAAACTGCTTACGAAGGGAATGACTTCATACCGATTTAAGCCTCTTGTGACTGACTGGTCAGCCACTGGTCATAAGCTGTTGCAAGTGTGTGAAGCTGCTTTTACATGAATAAGCTGTAGTAGCTTCCAAAGTTACAGCTTTCATGTGCGTTTGAGGCGACATGCCCGTTTGCTTTACCCTAGGTCTCGAGAGAAACTATTATTACCATTTGTGAACTTCTTTTTGTACACGTAAACTGTTGCTTTTCAGTGTGAACTTGCCATTTTGCAAGGGACTGAGGAAATAGCATTCTTTGAAACCAGCACTGCATTGCAACAATATATTTAATGTGGTGAAATAAAAACTTTTCTAGTTCAAAGTATGCACTCTTGTTTTTTCTCTTCATAGTTCCACTGGGCATGCCTATCGTCATACGAGTGTTTCTGACGGTACTAAGCTAATTTCTTTACCACTTCCCCAATTTGCGGTTCGAGCGTAGAGCAGCTTTTTTTATTTTGGGTCGGGAGAGCCGCGGCACCGCTAGAAGGCAAGCACGAAGATCTGCGTCGCCGCGAGTAACGGTGATGCGATGACAACGTACAGGCGAAATAAAAATGCTGACAATACTTCAAATTCAGCTTGTGGGTCGGCGTAAGCGTTCGTGACGACAGAGCATATTTTCGTATCGAAAAAGGCAAGCGCGGCGACGAACCTGCGCGGCAAGAATAGCGGCGACATCGAGACCCGACGTTGGAAACCGAAGGCTCGACTTCGGAAACCAGCGGTAGGCGTTGGTAGTAACCTTGCTTCGCTCTTATCAAGCGACGAGTTGAGAACGCTAAGAGAAGTACTTGCGCCTTTTACGCACTCCTGTGCAGAAGCACGATGCGAGACGTCGCATACTGCGGGCGTCGCTTAGTTGCGTCACCAAGTGTTGAGTCCCTCGCGTCACCGCGTTCACAGCGTCTCAGCCGCGACTGCGTCGATCACGTAGGCTTCCCGTCTCAAGCGTTTCTGGCTTCAGCCGCGACTGCACCGATGATCGACCGCGTACGATTCGTACTTCAGGCGGCGGCGGGCGCCATGTTTATCTTGCCACAGCGGCGCGAGTGACGTCATGTCACGTGACAATTCGCTAACCAATAAAACAACTGGTTTCGGTTTGGAGCGGAAGTGATGTCAGGTCACGTGACATGACAAATTGCCTTGGCGGAAATGACGTCATGTCACGTGACAAGGGGGCGTGGCCAGGTGCTGTACGGGATATGGTTTGCTTATACGCGTCCCGGCCCCCGGCGCCGTCCCAGTCATCCCGCCGTCTGGAACACGGACGGACCCACCGCCAGCTCCCGACGCTTTTGTTTCCGCTCCCCGGCTTCTTTCCCCGGCTGCTGTCGCGAAGAAAGTAAGCGACGTGGAGGCGGTGCTGTCTGCGAATCCCGATGGCATTTCAAGCTCATCGTCAATGTTCCGCTGTATTTTTCTTGAGAAAGAAAATGTTAAACCGATATAATATATCGGTTACCGGTTAAGACTATACGATCACGGTTTCGGCTACCGTTAACATCGAAATAAATTCGTTCCGATTGCGGTTACCAAAAAAAAAAAAAATCTGTCTTCAACGAATTTTGGTATGAACTACGGTTACGGTTTCAGTGTCTGGTTAAAACCTATCTTAATTCAGCGTCCTTCTTGCTCACCAGGACGACGCATCCGTACCCCAGCGACCGCAGATTCCGCTACCGCCCAAGAAATTCCCCAAAGCCGGACTCTCCGTCTCTACGTTCTCGCCGGAAGTGACGCGCTTCGATGACGTCAGGGCGGAAGCGACATCATCGCCATGCGACACAGACCACCGAGATCAAATCGTACCGTCGCCTGCCATCGTGGTCCTCGAGCCGCTCAGTCCAGGAACAGCAACGAGCCCCCGAAAAAAATCAGCAACCCTGGGCAACTTCTTGGAGACCCGGGGCACGACCTGGAAGTTCCAGCCTGGGGCACAACCGGCCATGTCCAGTTTTGCCGGTCGACGGTCGTCGGATGACATGCAGCATCTACCAGTGCCTCTCGGTGACCTCTCCTCTTCGGACACTGATGGCAGCGAAGAGTTCTTGCTGCCACCTCCTCCTCCACTCAACGTTTCGGCGGACTCTTCGGATTCGGATGGCAACATTTACGAGGACGTCAGGCCACCGGTGCAGCCGAGCGTGGTCGGTGGGTACAGTGTGGCCACGAAGCACCTGGTGCGACCTCCGAAAGGAAAGAAGTTTGGCATGACGCTTGCGGAGATCTGCTTTCGCAAAGGACCTCCGAGTGTTCCAAGTGAGTAGCTTGTTTGGCGTTGACGGCGCTTATTTATGACCAGTTTATAGGTAATATATCAGAGTCATACGTCCCTACGCTAAAGTTGAAGGGTTCAAATATCTGTCCTATAGGCCCCTTTAAAAATTACGCCCTCTTACGGTCAATGTAAAAATACTGCAAAGGTAGCGTACACAAAAAACGCCATAAAAAGTGGCAAGATGATCAATTGTATACAGTCTTGGAAGTTAGTATTAAATCAGCTATATAAGGTGTCAAAAAATTACGAAGTTTTTGTAACTTTTTTAAGGGGAGAATATAAACAACAAATGCTCAATAAAAAAGATTTTGAATAAGATATCGGTTCGTGCTGAAACCTTGGTATCTGTTTCGGACACTAGCGCTACCTTTGGGCGAAGAATTTTTGCGATAAAAAACACTATTTCATTTTAATAATTAAAAATATATATATATGACAGTTACACGGATGCCATCTTCTTCGTATATTTATCAGGCTTGGCTGACACTGGAACAGCCGTGATGGTAATTTTGCTAAGTAACTCAAATATGTTAATCAACACTTTAATTAATGGTTTTATGTGTCACGTTGGGATTGCAGCGTTGACGGCAGTTACTATAAGGGACTACACCATTTTAAAAAATTTGCGAAAAGGCAATTGATTTTTAGATAGCCATCGATCAGTTTTCGCGTTTTTTCGCTCATTTTGAAAATCGCGCGTAAAAAGAGTGGCGCAGGTCCCGCCCACAACGACGCTTGGAAGAGTGACGTATCGTTTGACTCATCTCGTCACTATCCCGACAACACGTGGATGTGCCAACGACACACTGCCGAGATAGAGTAGACGTGACTGAAATTCTACTTTACTCTTTCAAGCGTCATGGCAATCAAGGCTTGCAATTATTTTCTTTTCTTTCTTTTTTTTTATTTGCACTTACGTTTTAAATTGGCAAGAAAACACGAAAACATTTTAATTAATATGTAAAGAATCATTATTTTATGTTTTTTTTTAGAATGGCATAGCCTCTGATAAAACCAATAATTCAAAAATAATCAACATATTGCAGTTTATTGGTGAACTTAATGAATCAGTTATTACTTCGTCTAACGTTCATCGAGCCTGATAAATACATGGTGAAGGCGGCACCCGCGTAACTCTCACCTATTCTTTTTTTTTTTTTTTTCTTAACCAAAATGTGTTTGGTTAAAAATTAGACACCCGGTATATTCCCGACTGCTACTTAAGTATTTATAACTCCTGTAACTGTTATTGTGTTCATTTTATGTAACCCTAGAGCAGGTTTGGTTGAGCGTCGTATTTTTATTTCAATAGTAACTCTATTTGACACTACCGACAGGACCACTTCTCGCCGAGTTAATTCTCCAGGTTTCGTTTGTCTATTTTTTTTTTTTTTATGTACTCATTCGTGCTTCATTAAACAGATGAAAACCAGGCAGGTATAATCCATCTCCCAAACATCTGCAGTGCGGACAAAGGCTTGGACACGAGTACTTGTCTGTGGAAAGTCTCGTACAAACAAAAGCATTCTGCTGGGCAAGCCTAACGCGCCTGTGCCTTTGCCTTTACTGGAGACATTTGTAAGATGAAGTATGTAGAACGAAGAATGAGTACTAGCTGTCCTCGTCCCTCCTTTTTGTTTAGCTTTCATTACATGAGTATCTGCGCCAACGCGCCCTTCGAGATAACGCTGTGTCAGTTGTAATACAGGGTGTCCCCGACAAAAGATTTAACTTTTTTTTTGCCCGCAGAAATAAACTACGCATCGCCGAATGTCCATCCTCCGCCGAAATGTAGCCCGAACGATCCAAACCAGACGCCAAAGTTTCAGCACAAGCCGATATTTTATTGAAAAGTTATAAGTAATTTTAGGAACATTTCAATGCGAAAATTGTGGACGGGCAAAAATGGGTCCCATTTTCCCATTGAAATTCTCAGAAAATCACTTACGGAGACTGAGCATCGGCGATGCGGAGTTTAATTTTGCGGCAAAATAACCCCTGTCTTTTTTGTTTTTTGTTTTTTGTTGTTGTTTTTTGTGTGTGTGTGTGTGGGGGGGGGGGGGGGAGGGGGGGGGCACCTTGTACATCATGTAGTTTGCTCAATAACTAAAGAGTTTGATATACTCTGTAAACATATTTTCAGGATTTTTTTGTCTTTTTTTTTTTTTTGTTTAGGTTACATTACATTTAATCTGGCTTTTAGTCTACTTTGAGTATCAAACTGAGTCGTTATTTACTCAGCATATTGCTCAGCATTGGCGTTCAGTCCACAGATTAGATTAGAACGCGATTTATTAGCCGAAAATAATCAGGGAGTGGGATTGGGGAGGGCACCGGTGACTGAATTTGAGGTCTGGGTGCTGGCATATTAATAAAAATCAGGTTAGATGAAAGAGTCTACTTTGGCCTCATGGACGAAGTCCAGCAGGCTTCGTAGAATCCTTCGTTGTCGGTCTTCATTTCCAGGAGGGTGAGTCCAGCCTTCAAATGAATCAACGTCTTGGGGTCTATATATTGCTCTTATGTCTTGATATTTGGGACATTCCCAGATCAGGTGTCGGATGTCTGCTTTGACACGCATGTCGCAGTGGGAGCATAGAGCTGATCTTCTACCCTTGCTCCACAAGGCGAGGCGGGCCGGGGATAGGCTGGCGTCTGTTCTTACTCGTGTGAGCAGCACTTGCCCTCTGCGACCGAACCCCTTCTAAGGGAGTCCGGTAAGATCCGGTTCGCATAGGCGCTCGCTTTCATGTCTTCTTTGATCCACGCCCTCTCCTCAGCCAGGTCATACTCCTGATGTTCCCAGTCGACGGGTGACAGAGCCCGATCCTCAGAGCGAGTTGTCCGGTCGTACTGGTGATCGACGCGTGGATGTGGCGGCTCATCGACTCGTTGCCCGGGAAGAGCTAGAAGAGACGCGCGGGCGAGATTGTAAGCTGCTTCGTTTCCGGGAATCCCAGCATGCTCTGGAACCCCCTCAATTCTTGTTCTGACTCCTCTCCGCGAACAAGGTTCTGAGACGAGTTTCTTAATTTTCCGCACTTGGATGCTGGGACTGTTGTGGGTGCGGCACTCCTTGATTGCCTTCTGGGAATCTGTAAATATTCGAAGGTCCTCAGGAAGGGGGCCAAAGTGGCGCACTGATGATCGCGAGTGCGAGCCGAATGGCTGCTAGCTCCCCGCCCTTGGTTGACACTCCAGGTGGAAAAGCTTCGGCTGCTTCCAACTCCAAGTCAGGGAAAACCACGGCGGCAGATTTTCGGGTGATGGATCAGTGGGTGATGGGTCCACAGTTCTCGAATAAAAAACTAAACGTCATTTCACTCTCTTTTTTTTTTTTCGTGTTTTTTTTTTACCATTTGGAAATAATTTTTATTAGAATAGTTTTAATCAATCGATTACAAATTGTGAAAGTCAGCAGTACAATTTCAACTATGCCCTACTACCTAATTTCGCGAATATAGGACGCCCCTTTTTGTTCTTGGTCTGGAATGAGGGGGCTGGTGGAAGAGCTTCGGCTGCTTCCTACTCCAAGTCAGGGAAAACCACCGCGGCAGATTTTCGGGTGATGGATCAGTGGGTGATGGGTCCACAGTTCTCGAATAAAAAACTAAACGTCATTTCACTCTCTTTTTCTTTTCTTTTTTTCGTGTTTTCTTTTACCATTTGGAAATAATTTTTATTAGAATAGTTTTAATCAATCGATTACAAATTGTGAAAGTCAGCAGTACAATTTCAACTATGCCCTACTACCTAATTTCGCGAATATAGGACGCCCCTTTTTGTTCTTGGTCTGGAATGAGGGGGCTGGTGGAAGAGCTTCGGCTGCTTCCTACTCCAAGTCAGGGAAAACCACCGCGGCAGATTTTCGGGTGATGGATCAGTGGGTGATGGGTCCACAGTTCTCGAATAAAAAACTAAACGTCATTTCACTCTCTTTTTCTTTTCTTTTTTTTTCGTGTTTTCTTTTACCATTTGGAAATAATTTTTATTAGAATAGTTTTAATCAATCGATTACAAATTGCGAAAGTCAGCAGTACAATTTCAACTATGCCCCACTACCTAATTTCGCGAATATAGGACGCCCCTTTTTGTTCTTGGTCTGGAATGAGGGGGCTGAAACGGCCGAAAACGCTGTCAGCGGTTGGGAACACTGTGCAGAGGTCGCTCCTAAAATCTAAACATGGCGTCCCCACGGCCGAAGTCTCCCAAGCCCGTCACGCCTCAGAAGAAAAAAGACGAATCATTCTTGGAATATTTGGGTACCCTGGGCAGAAGGAAGAAGATAAAGGAAGGTAGTACACATTCCGTACTAATTTAACCCGGTGTCTCTAGCAGCTAGCTAGATAAGAACGTGTGTCGGTGTCAGCTGGGACCGATAGCTCTCCTGTCCATTTATGGAGCGTGTGATCGTCGCAAGAAATGGGAACACAAACAACACACTTCAAAGAATGATCTTCTGAAATAATTCGCGGGTCACAGTCTTGTCGTTTTGTGTTTCCGGGGTTTGTTCTTGTCTTGCCGTAATTGAAGATATATATAAATTTTCTTAACCGTAATTGCTTGTTTATGGCATGAATCGCAGCGGCACCACGCCCCAGCGATGCGTGATCATTCCATTTGAATAGGTAATTTCTCTCGTACATCATGAGCGCTGTCATGATCGAATTGGTTAGACTGTTCTGATTAGATGAAGTTACATCTTGTTCGATTGCGGTTAAGTTAAAAGTGCTTGACCTTGTTTGACAAGCGTTGGTTTGCTCAATTCTTGTCAAGTGTCGGTTAAGAACACCGTTCAGCTCGACGACTGTTGCTGTGCGCCTTTGAACCTTTGAACACGGCTTCAGAACATATAAAAATGAATGTAGGCTTTGAAAGATGATTTATCGTTTTCAAAGTTTCGTCTGTATGATTCAGCTAGTACCCCAGTTTAAACCAGCGGAGTTTGTTTTTGGGGTTACATTGAAACGTTGTCACTACTCTGCGACACCGACATATGTTGCCTGTTGCCCCAAAAAACATCCACAAAGGTTTTATAGCATTCCAAAATAATTGCATCATGCTAGTACTGTTCGAATTAAATCAACCTTCAACTGTCAAATGTTGATCTTGAGATTTCTTTTAATGCAGTCATCAAATTTCTTGGTATACACATACATGTATAAATTCTATGAAGTTATGAAACCCAACGTCCGGTGTTGAGAAGTACTTAAAGTACTACTTGAAGGTTTAGAAAACGTGTATACTTCACTTGAAATACAGAGCAGTTCACTTTTAAAGTTAACACCAGAACATGTGACTGCAGGTGCCCGTGGAAGCTTGTCAGTGCTGTTAACTTTTTTTAGGCAAAGTCACCAGGACAGCCCAAAAGTCACCAGTTTTAGCAAAAACTTGCTAAATGATGATGATAACATCCTTTTTTGGAATTCCTATTTTTTTATTTTTCAACTGGATAAGATATGTGAAGGTTTTTATTATTTTAAACAATATTTTAAATTACTTTCTGTGGTGACCAACCAAGTGAACAGTCAAAGCTGGCCGTCCCATTACCGAGGCACTCGCCAACACCTTGTGGCAAGCGCCATGTTAACCTTGAGTGATTCGATGCATTGATGAGAGGATCCTGGTCCTCAAACAAGACGGCGGAAAACTGCATTGGCGTTATACCCCTTTTGTATACATCTTCATCCTTAGTAGAACAAATCTGCTTCATCCTTATCAAACAAAATTGCTTGCTTCAAAATGCACAATTTTCTGTTTTTTTTTTTTTTTTTTTTTTTTTTTTTTTTTTGCTATGGTTACAGAGGATTTTTCCAAAACCTGCTAGATAATGCCTGAAAAGGGAAGTGGTTCTAAGTGGTTCGGGGCTTGAAAATGTCTTCGTCTTCGCGTCAACCAACATTACCTCGCATCACCCTTAGCAGCGACAACTATCGGCTTGCAGATTCAGCAGATTACTGAATCTGTAGATTTGGGCAACATGTGATACGATCCATCGAGGTGTTTCTCATACTCGTTTCTGGCATCTAATCATATTGCAGGTTGCTAGGCTTATACTTGTTCAAGTGTTGATGTTTATCCTTGCAGTTGTTGAACTTCAAGAAGAAGGGAAGAATGCGATTGAAACTCCCGGCAGCCCTACCCTCCCTGACCTGCCACCCCAGGACTATATTCTTGGTGAGTAATTTCAATTTCCACAGGATCTGTCGTCATAAAGGATATAGAGAAAAGGTAGCTAGTAAAAATGTGGTAATTCCTAGAGTCTTGCAACTTTTGTACATCAATGACAGACAGGACTGTGTTTTTTTGCTGTACAGCCCTTTCTCAATTCGTTTTGTTTTTTTATGATGACACAGAAACTACCTTTCTATACGATGAACTGACTCGAGTAACGTCCTCAATAGAATTCACCAGATCAAGGGGCTTGTGGGACAAGTGTGATTCAGCCGGTTAATTGGACGCAGGTCTGAAATGAGCTCTGACACTGCGCTTACATCCAATTCATGCGTCGCTCTGGGCTGACATCTAGTACATCCGGACCCTCTGTTATCTGCTTCAGTGCATGTCTTCATCATCTGCCTTCGTGAGCCACCAGAAGACCGCCATTGACATGCAACAGATATATACTCGGGCGATGATAGTGGTCAAAGCAAACAAGCTCAAATCCAAGAAGGATGTCTTTTTAGGCATTTAATATCTTGCTCAAGATTTGCTCAGAATTTTCAGCCAATGATTTCTTCACAAAGTACAGTTGTGCAGAAACTAGCACGAACTACCGACACTGATATTTTAAACCGGACAATCCGAGAGAGAGGTACCACACGTCCATCACCTTTGGCAGCGTTGACAATAGATGAGTATCATACATGTGATGCGCTTATCTCGTGAGCACCAGAGGCGCACTGCCGTCGGTGGGAGTCACCCAGTCGGATCAGTCAGAGAACCCAACGGGTGGACACGGGTTTGGAGAAGGCACCGTGGAGGAAGTCGCCGGATGCGTCTGCTCTTTCGTTAAACCCCACGGGCCTGTTGAAAAGATGGACGACTGGAAGCGCCATCTTCTTCTTCTTCTTTATTAAATGGAGGGTTTTGTGGAGATGTTGGCACTGTCTATTCAGAAGCGCCATCTATGCTTAAAACCTAGGGCTTGCTTTATTTTTTGATAATTTAAATGCCACGTAAGGGGTACTACTACATCTGCTTTGAAAAAAAAGCTACAAAAAGATTTTAAAAACTCTTCTCTACCTTTTTTTATTTTTTCTTTACTTTACATAGAAAACATTACTTGTGGCGACAAAATTTACTAGGCCGGAAACCACCGAAATTTTCCGACTTGGATGCTAGATGTGATACCTCGGATACACATCTCAACTACATTGCAGCTGTGTTTGATACCTGTGTTCATATCGTGCCCTTTTCCATTCCTCAGTCTTGGGTGCTTTCAAGATGCACAGAACTTTTAGACTAACATTTGCTTGTGCATCTTCTCAACTTGCTCATTCTCTTTCTTTGCCGTCTTGGTGTTACTAGACGAGATGGAGGAACGGGCCATGATTGAGCCGCTCTCGTACGAGGATCCCCGACTGAAGGAGCTGATCAGCGTGCTGATAGAGTGGATCAACGACGAGCTGGCCAGCCATCGCATCATTGTCAAGGACATCGAGGAGGACCTCTACGACGGCCAGGTCCTCCAGAAGCTGCTTGGTGAGGCATCCTAGTTGCACAATCTCTCCTAAAAAACACTAAACTAGAAAAAATAATTTTTTTTAAGCGTTTGGATAGGATGCATAGTTCACAAAACACACTTTTCCCCCAAAGAGAGACATATCTTTTACCACGGTGCTTACGCTGCTAGAGTCACTTGAGTGGCTTCGAACTGTGCTTCTATTTCGGTGGTTAATGCCTCAAAATACGGGGATGTTTCGAAATTGCTCTTAATTTGAAACGAGTCTTTGTTGATTGAGTCGGCTTCGTGAACCGAGTCTGCGACCCGCAGAGTCTCTGACGGGCAAGCGCCTGGATGTGGTGGAGGTGACGCAGTCGGAGGAGGGCCAGAAGCAGAAGCTCCGCACAGTGGTGGACTGCGCCAACCAGATCCTCGGACTCCCCAAGTGGGGACAGTACAAGTGGTCCGTTGAGAGTGAGCCCGCCTCGACACGCATTTTCTGTCTTTGTTTCTCATACTTCTTACTGCTTTCTCTTTATTCTGTTATCTTAGAGGTCTCCCCATTAATCTCGAAGTACTGGACCCCAGTAAATAACTGCCTCCTTTTTCTTGCATATTGCCGAATGCCTACCACACACCTTGCATTTCTTGCTTCCTAAAGTAAGCTAAAAGTTGCTTCATTCCATTATCTTACTGTGTCCTAGTAGTAAAGCATTTCCCCTCATTTCTGCACGTATCCTCGAAACTACATATTTTGCTGTCATGTCTTGCAGAATGTAGGTTTGCCTTTTTTTTTTTGTTGAAGTAGCTCGGACATCTACTGGTATCCAGAACACTCGAAGAGGCAATCTCTGTCACATATAAGTGTCCTTACAAATCAGCGAAGCAGTCGGATATAGAAGGAAGGACTCACAAAGAAACCCTCGTGGAATCCTCAGATAGGCCACTAACACCTCACTAAAAGAGCTTCTCTAGCCTCAAAGACCCTAAGTCTCTCGGCGAAATGTCAGCTCCCAACCCGGGTTTCCAAGTGGTCCATATTTCAAGGACATCTATTGAAGTTCCCCTGGCCTACGAAGCTGCCAACAATGTGTACAGGCTCGGGTTCTGTGACTTGTTGCCACCATTAACCCATTTGTTCATTAGAAGGATTACTTATATGTGGGGTTCCGTGTTTCCAGCATCTGCCGGCGAACCCCGAAAAGTAGCCCCGGCAAACCTCGAAAATTGTTTTACCAGGATCGGAGAAAACCGAAAAACCCCCAATAAGACCCAAGTTCCACGCAAAAAAATTTAAAAAAATCTGTAATTAGCGCTAAATGCTAAAGTTGAAGCTTGGGCGAGTTGGTACGACCATACTTGAGAATTAAAACAGCGCAAAAGACGCGGGACCAGATGAAGAAAGACACAGACACAGCGCTGTGTCTGTTCGAAAGATCCATCTATGCCCCGTCTATTTTTTATTTTATTTTCTTCTTCCAGTTTAAGTTTTTGACAAACAACGATTCTTTGTTAGACCGCGAAGATTAACAACAAAAAACGCCGAATCTCTGGGAAGAAGTTAACCGAGCAAGAACGCCCCGTAGTCGAAGAAGGGCTTTTATTACCCAATGAAGATTTTGTTTTTACTGCTTTTTTTTTTTTCTCACCAGGCATCCACAACAAGAACATTGTGTCGATCATCCACTTGCTGGTGGCACTGGCGAGACACTTCAGGGCCCCAGTGAGGCTGCCCGAAAACGTCGTTGTCAACGTCGTCGTCGTGCAGGTTGGTTCCGCCGGATTGTACGCTTGTCGGTGATACCCATTTCGGCATTGTATCATTGATGTTGGCACGCGCGTCGTTTCGTGACGGCGTATTTTGAGCTTGGAAGTCCAGTGAAAGTCAGAGGGTTTAGAGGGTGACAAGATACAAAAAAGCAGGGCGACACGACAGAATAAGTTTCGCTGCATTTTTGTTTATTGGTCTTAACCGTGCATGTGCTGCCTTATAAAAAAAAAAGTGGGGCATCTGCCCCCCCCCCCCCCCCCCCCCAAGGTTTTATTAGGTTTTATTACAGTATAGACCACTTACAACGTAACCGCTTATAGTGCAAGATTGGGTGTAACGCGGTTTTTTTAAACCACCGGTTCGCCTCCCATAGAACTTCTTGTAATTACATACCGCTTAAAATGCAGGCGCGCGAAGGGAAATACTGGTTATAGTGCGGTTTCTGGAACTGCGCGCCGACCGACCAGCGCAGCGAGCACGCTTCCCTGTGCGACACTAAATAACGGCGCTAGCCTGGCTAGCCCGCAAGCGGCACTCGCGGGGCAAGGAGGTTGCTCGAAGAAGCGGAAAGAAACGAAGAGAGAGGCTTCAGTTGCCATAGCGACGGAAGGACGCACGCACGTGTCGTTCACGTGCGTGCGTCGCTCCGCAACTGCAACGACAGGCCAATCGCAGGTCGAGGAGAAGTGTTCGCGCGTGCTGCATGCCGGTCGCAGGCCGGCTACTTCTATCTGCAAACATGGCGTCGGTTGTGATCGTCGACGTAGACGGCGTGGTTCGTTACGCGTAAATCGTTCTGCGTAAATTGTTTCGCGTAAAAGCGCTATCCTTGACTGAATTTTCGCTGTGTGTCGCTATGATAACCCAGCACGTACTTGAAGGGAAGATCCACCTACTCGTGCGGCAATGTCGTGGCGGCACTCTCAAGACGGCAGAAACGCCCGTGCCGTCGTGTTTGTTTACTTCGACTACAGTGGTGATTTCTAAACATTTGTGTTTTCGAACATCGCCCGGATTTCTTATTTGGAGCATTTCATGCCTGTGCTCAAGTTGAAGGTATTACTGGCGCGTACCATATAAAGAATCAAATTTTCACGCGTTTTCATCACCGGAGAAAAGTGATTAGGGTTAGCAATCCTGAACGCTAGCAACGTCCGTCCGCAACCCGCCACGCCGTTAAAAAGCTGCGCCAGGCAAAAGTCGCTCATTTCTTTCAAAATGTGTGACGCACTTGAGAGAGAAGTGTACTAGTCTGGTGAAATAAAGACTTTCCTAAAACTAAGCTTTATTTTTCATCTAATATAAAATAAATTTGTTTTACAAAGGTAAGTTGTCTCATGGCATGGATTTTGGCCTGAAAAATTTATGTTTTGGTTACAACGCGGTACCGCTTATAGTGCGGATTTTCGCAACTCCCGCGACATACGTTATATGCGGTCTACACTGTACATCTCATTTTGTTTATTGGTCTGTCTGTAGAAACGCAACGGCATCCTACATCCCCGCACCGTTCAAGAGGAACTGACGTCGACCTACGAGTAAGCTTTAATGTCTTCCTTTAGGGTTAAAAGCTGGGCCATTTGGCGTGGATCGATCATTTCTCTCTGGTTTATGTTCCTTCTTTTTCAGTCTTTTTATGATTTCTTCTTTTAGATCAAGGTGCTCTTTTAATTCTGGTTTGTGTGTCGTAGCGTTCTGTTCTTTGCTGCACAGGAAAAAAGCACATGCTGAGAAGTCGCACCTCTGTACTTTTTTATTTAGCTTTTCTTTGGAAGCTTTAGTATGCGATATATAGAAAACAAGTTTGACATCTGATGGCACTTTATAAATGTGGTTTACACATAAGCGGAGCTGTCTACAGGATTGTTCAATGCGAGAAGCTATCCACGGGCTTTTATTCCGTAGAAAATTACTCTGAGCAAACAATGGCTTTGGTTGGTTTTCCATCTGAGAACGTTGCTTGTTGGTTGAGGAGAAGTATGGTTGTTTTCTCACGGGCATAAATCTAATCTTGTTCTTTATTTGGATGTTGCAGTTATATCCAATTTATCTAACATCACCTAGGCAAAGGTTTGGCTTTACCGAACGGCTTTGATCAGGAGGAAACAAACTCGGCACCCTGTAGACCTGACACGATTGGTAACTCAGTTTTTTTGGTTGGACAGGACGTGACCAGATTAACGAAGGACTTCGGTATTAGCTTTAATCCAAGATAACCACTTTTTAGAAAAAATATTGCACGCTACCCGAAGGTTTAGCGAACAAAATAGACCTTTCTGGAAAAGTCTATATCTGGGGCCCCTCCGACGTACGCCTGGGCAGGCCCGTACACTCTGCGGATTTTGGAAGTGGCTCGATTGTTTCTGTCTTGCCACTGCGAGTTTAGGACACAAAGAAAACAAAGTGAAAACACCCCAAAGCCGATGCGTACCCTACTTCGTTACCGTTCTGCTTTTTTTGCGTTCTGAAGTCGCAAAACGCTAAACCAACATGAACCGATTGCCGTAGTTCATCGAAGTAACGATGGGAGGCGCTGCGTATTTCCAGAACGGTCTATCAGCTCGTACATGAAAAGAAGAGAGAAAGGGAAGTGAGCTGTGGAAAGGAATTCAGGAAATTTTTAAAAGACTCGGAAATTTGCCTGCAGAAAATTATGCAACATCCCAGAAGCATACAGGAAAAACCGGACTTGAGTGACGTGATCGGAATTATCTTCTCAATGTAACCTGGAATCTAAAAGGAAACTGTTTTGCGCAAGCACTAGACCAAAAAATAACTGCCTCCTCTGTCAGCCAGCACCGTCCTAGTTGGATGCAAGCCAGACGCATTTGTTTTCTTCCTTTTTATTTTTGTTTGTTTTTTTGTCAGCAGAGCAGCTGTGATGCTTCTTCTCTTTTCTTCACTGTCGAGACACATTGGTGTTTAGGTAAAAAGAGTTTAAATGAAAAGGATGTTTGGAAGTAAAAGGATGCCTTCTCTCACTACTGGCTTAAGGTGGATGTAAAAAATGCTTGGTTTGTTTCGTGTATTGGTTTTTGGATGGGCTCATTTCCAAGGCGTCTTGGTAACTTGGAAGCTAATTTCGCTTTGAGATAATGAAAATTTTCGTGTGAGGAAGCCCTCTCAGCCCTCTTGTGCAACTTTTCTAATATTGAGATTCACTTGTAAATGACAAAATAGAAAGGTTTTTATTTTTAGGTCATGCATTGCGGGACTTTGGAAATCAAGGTCGCTGCCACATTTTTCTATATTGAACATTGGTTTTTAGGGGATCATCTTAGACTTAAGAGGACACGATATATGGTTTTAGATCAAAGAGTACCGCAAGACAGATATTGCGCAGGCCTTTTTGTATACCCCACTTAACTCTGCTGATCTTCAGATTTCACCAAATCACTTTTATTGGCGAACTACAGAAGAGCGGCTTCGCAGCGCAGGCATTTTTGCAACATTGTATTTGACTAGGAATCTGACAGCTTTCCTCGAATCTTTTTTTCCAGTGACTTGGGAATGAGAGTTGGTGAGTTAAGTTCTTTCCGCTACGTATATTCCAACGCTTTGCGGCTTTCGAGTTTGAGTGCTGGTACTCGCACAGTTCGCGCAGACAGCCTTTACCTAAAGACTCCCGCACCTTTGCTTCCTCGCAGAAAGGGACGCATTCGACACGCTCTTCGACCACGCTCCCGACAAGCTTCAAGTCGTGAAGAAGGTATGTTAGTGGTGCTTATTTGGTCGCTGGCAGGACGTGCCTTTCAACCATTTGGCCTCCAACACAGACTCTATGCCTTCCACCGCACTTTGGCTGCGCGTGCGTCCTGGAGGCGGGCTAACTGAAGCTCCTCCCTCCCGTTTCCACCCTGTCGGCGATTATAGCTAACTTTTGCAGTCACATCTATTCTTTGGCCTCGATTCAAGAGGGCACTCCTTCCTCACGGTTGCTACGAACATGACATCGGCACTTTTCCGCATTTCACTCAGACGGAGTAGTCACGGGCACCGAACTTTACCACTTAGGTCACTGCCCTAAACGTGGACTTTGAACCTCAATGTAGTGGGTGACAAGCTAAGAACTTGCCGTAATTCCTTGAGAGATAACCCACCCAAAATTGAAAGCAAATCGAGTGAAAACTGGGAGTGGGCTAACGTTCAATAAATAATAAAAAAAAGTTGGATAAAAAAACAAAAAAAGCTTGTAGCAAAAAAATGGGAAGGTGTGTTTACGCGGCGTTCAGTCACCTTCAAAAGGTTTAAACGAGCAGTCGCTATCGCTGTCAAACAAAATGTCAATCACTTCGTCACATAGGTCCTGTTACCTTTCAAACTTGTTATCGCAGTGGGGGGGGGGGGGGGCACAGCGGCGGCTGTTAACTAAAGACAACTGTTTCTGCCCAGTCAGCATTTATCACCTGCCTGTTCTCCTTTCCGCCAAGGTCACCATTGGCTCGTGCAGTGCAATTACTAGAAGTGGGCTGTCTTTCGCTGTGTTCGAAAAAATACAGAATCGTGCCGCAAGGGGGGGGGTGGGGCATCTCTCGGGATATTACGGTAGTATGCAGATGCTTAGCCTTCAGCGCACGCTCGTATCCTTTTGCCAAGCTTGGGCTGCACGTATGATGTACTGTTAAAAGAGGCAGAAAGGTTTTGGTTTTTAACCTGTCACTGACGAGAGTAGTGGTAGTTTTTATGACAGCCATTCAGTTTGGAGAGAAAAGCAGGGAAACCAGAAATCACTTGTTCGAGCTAACAGTTTTGCGCTGTGCACTTATGGTCACTCTTAGCCGATCTTAAGTATGTGACTTGAGCACACTCACACTGTTGTACCAGTGAAAGCTTAACAACTCCTGGTATTTGAAATGGAAAGCAAATTGTGTTGGCTGGTTCACAGGTTGAGGCAAAGTTGAGCCGCCAAAGTGCTTCGAAACAAAGATAGCCTTGAAGATTGTGGAGTTGGCTGGTCATTTATTTGTCTGAAGATTTTATTTAGTCCACATCGTTTGCGTAATATGTAGCGGAGGTAACTTAATTAAAAAATTGCAGCACCAGTTTGGTCAGAACTTTGTGGCTGGGAGCTGCTTAGCAATACTGCCCTTGGAATTAAAATTGTTAAAAGAGGAGTTTATGTATAGCCTACATTGTTAAACAGTCATCTGAATTCAATTTCTTTCCTCCTCCCAATGTTGTGTATGCTGGAAAAATTGTCTTAATTTAAGAGTTCACTAAATTAACTCATACCCAAATTTGCAATTAGGAGTAAAGTTTCCCGTTTTTTCGTATTTTACAAGCCCAGCTTTTCTTTCAGTCGTTGATGACGTTTGTGAACAAGCATCTCAACAAGATCAACCTTGAAGTCAGCGACCTGGACACTCAGGTGAGGCTGCCTTCTACCAAAAGGAATGAAGTAAAATGAGGCTAGGCAAACTTTTGATTTTAATATCTGTAAAGTACAAGCCTCGCGTTTACACCTCGCATCAAAGCCAGAATGTTAAAACAATGGTTTCTAGTATTCAATCATTTCCAGTATCTAAAACTATGTCTAAAGCAAGAAGAGTTACATTTTGTAACTATGGTTCCGTGTTTTTGGGGGTTTATTCGTCAAATTCGGAGGTGTTTTTAGGGGTTTATTTTTCTTCACAGATTGTGTTTTTCAGTGTCAAACAAGAAATTTGTGTATATCGGGCCTTATGTTAAAGAAAAAGTTGGCATAACATTTCTTAATCTCCATAGTGACCTGAATTCTTGGAAAGGTACCAGATAGAGGAGAAACGGGATAAGGGTTCCTTAACAAAGAAGCAGCCTCTTGGTCACTTCAGTGCCTCTGTGTTCGAAGTAGTAAACACAAAATAAAATTGTAGTTTGAAGCTTTTTCTCATTAAGTTTGGTTTTTTTCTTATCGAAGGACAACGTCCATTCGGGGATTTGCGGTTTTCCCCGATTGTGAGAAAACTGGTTCGGGGGTTAATTTTCACGGTTTATCGGTATGTGCCAGAAACGCAAAATCCTATTCATAGCTGCCACTGGCGGCTATGAATACTTCATCTAGTGCAGTGGCACACCCATGAGCCACTGGCCCGTAAACAAGCACTGGATGAGGCAAACTAGTGGGTTGCTGGGGTGACATTGTACGGTGGGAAGAAATATTGCACCAATATTGTCAATGTAGCTCTGGAGTGACTCTGGTTGCAAGCTTAAAAAAAGTAGTTGGGTTGTGTATTTGTTTAGACATTGGGTTGGGAAGTTTGTCGATCTCAATGGTGTCCGGTGTCTCTTGTATAGACTAAAAGCTTTAAAAAGCATCGCACAGTAGTGATGCGCGACCACATGCCAGTACGACACTTACCCAGATGGACGAGGGCAGGGATTGAACCCTGGGTACACGGGTTCTGCAGTGCGCCAACACGCTCGTTCGCCGATCTCTCCCGGAAGCTTTCGCCCTTGACAAATGTTTGCACGCTGTGCTACCTTTTTATTAGTATGTCCTCTTTTTAGGGGGGAGTGAGGCTGACTGTGTATGAATGTCCTGTAGAACCCAGCTTGTTTACATGACAATGTTTGGTATAGAGCAGGGGTGCACAACTCAAAAATGACGCGGGCCAAAAATTGTTTATTGGAAGCTGCGCGGGCCGCACCTAGTGTTTTTTTGCTGCAGACAGGTTTTCAATGTCTGGTGTTATCGCACTGGTTGCCGTCTTCAGCACATCTCGCAGTGTCATGTCCGTCATAGAAGATCGAAGACGGTTCTTCTTGAGGGTCATCAGTGAGAACGTCTGCTCACAGACATACGTGCTCCCAAAATGTGATGCAAGCTTCAAAACGTGGTCCACAAGGTTTCAGTACTTGCTCCTGTCAAGGCTTCTGTAGAAGTCAAGCAGCTGAGACTCACGATGCATATGCTTCAGTTCTGGCGAGCACTGGTGGTCGATGAGTTGTAGCTGCAGCGTCGGACCTGTGTCTTCCGGTGCGACAGAAAACGGATCGCAGAACAAATCGTAGTTACTCTTCTCACTTTCAAATGCCTTGAATCTTTGCTGGAGCTCAGAGAGCAGGTACTCAACCTGTGGAGCGTACGTCGCAGCTACCGTCTTCCGATTTTCGCCGGTGGGAAAAAGCTTCTGGCAGGTTGGAAAGTGAACTATGCTTCCACCCCCAAGCTGCAATTTGAAGAGGCGCAGCTTTCTTGGAACGCGAAGATCGCGCTCAGCATGTCCGAAATGAGATGGTCTTTTCCTTAGAGAGCTATGTTAAGCGTGTTCAGATGGCTTGAAATATCGGTGAGGAATGCCGGATTATACGACCATTGTTCTTCCTCCAGCTCTGGTGTGTGTTTCCCCTCCTCTTGCAAGGAATCGATGATGTCGGCGTTCAGCGCGACGAAGCGACTGAGAACATTCCCACGGCTTAGCCAGAAAACTTCAGTGTGATACGGGATGTCCATATGCTCACTCTTCATTTCTTTCAGATACTCTTGAAATTTCCTGAGCTTCAATCCCCGACCACGTATAAAGTTGACAACCGAAGTCACGACCTTCATCACTTTGGCACGGAGTGCTTCCTGGTGAATCACACAGTGATATTGCTTCAATTCTACACCACTGAACGCTTGAAGTAAGGCAACGGCTCCGTTTCTCTTTCCCATCATGGCTTGGGCTCCATCGGTGCAGACACCTGCGAGTTTTTCCCGTGATAGCTTGAGCTTCTCGGTGACGTCTTTGACCTCCTTGCTCATCTCTTCTCCCGTAGTCCATCCGTGCATTGAGCAAAGCTCTGCCAGCTCCTGAGTCACTTCGAAGTTTGCGTTCACACCACGGATGAAAACAAGCAGCTGTGCTGTGTCTTTGATGTCTGTGCTCTCATCTAAAGCAAGAGAGTAGTAGACAAAATGACTGCAACTCCTCTCCAGCTGTTTTGATAGGTCGTCGGCAATGTCATGCACACGTCGTTGTACTGTCATTCTTGATAGGCTGAGGTTTTGGAAATCCAACTTCCTTGTCCGGGCACATCCCCTCAGAAACAATCATAAGACATTCCTTGATGAGGTCACCATCAGTAAACGGACGACCTGAACGAGCGATCTGTTGAGATATCTGAAAAGACGCCCGCGTGGCTGCTTCAGATGTGTTCTTTGCTCTCATAAAAATACTTTGCTCAGCAAGCAAATTCCGTTCTAAGTCCTCGGACTTTGTTTTTCTCTCCGAATCCGAAAGAGCACTGAAGTCGCTGGCATGTTTGGTCTCGTAGCAGCGTTGAACGTTGTATTCTGTAGGAGCCGCGAGAGATTCTCGACACACGAGACATAAGCACTTCGATGCGTTCTCAATGAAAAAGTAGCTCCATGTCCACTCTTGGTTGAATTTCCGGCCCTCCTGGTCGATTTTTCTCTTTTTTGGAAGTGCACTCATACTCCAAGCGTGACACGACTAGCTTTTCTCTATCTGCAACAAGTTGTCACTGATCATGTCCCAACAGGAGGGGAGAGGGCTGTAGCCTCCGTGGAGAGAGGGAGGAGGAAACGGGATGAAGAAGAACTGGAACACTCACAAGCACAGGGACGCGGGGTCGGGTCATAACAACGCACTGGATGGCTGTACAGGCTTTTCTATTGTTGTTTTCTGTGGGTCTAGTGGAGAGGGAATATTTGAACTGAGGACGTGGAATTCCCCCCGGAAAAGAGGACTCTGAGAAAAGTAGGTCAACGGGTTCGAATGCTTTCTGCCAAGTCAACGGCCCCAGTGCATTGAATGACACGGTGAGCGGTTTCTGCGCTCAGCTGGGCCGCGAGCCGCGGGCTGTATGTTGTGCACCCCTGGTATAGAGACTTCGGTTGTGACGTCTTCGCTCGAGCGCACCGTGATCGAGACTCCTCAAGTGTATGTTTTTTTTTACTTTTTTGCGGCAGTTCCAAGACGGCATCTATCTGGTGCTGCTGATGGGGCTGGTGGAAGGCTACTTCGTGCCTCTCTACTCCTTCTTCCCAACACCCTCGTCGTTTGAGCAGAAGGTGCACAACGTCGCTTTCGCCTTCTCCCTCATGACGGACGCCGGACTGCCCAAACCCAAGGCCAGGCCCGAAGGTGAGTCGACACTTCTCTGTTCTCTTACCTCGTGCTTTGGCATGAGTTCGTGCAGAGCTTTCGAATCGAATCTCCGCTATGGCATCACAGTTGAGTCGTCAGTCAGCTGCCTTAAAAAAGTATTGAACAAAGAAAAAAAACAAAATTTGTCTCCTACCTGGTTAGATAGGCACATCTCAAAAGAAATATTTATTAAAAAAAAAAACAAAAAAATTTGTATTTTGGTGCAATATTTATGTTACAACACGTATTGTTTTATTTGCGAGCGAAACCAAAATTGTAGCACCGTGGGGTGATGGTAACAGCATTTGTACCCAACTAGCATGCACTCAGATGTCCAGTGAACTCGGAGCACACACTGTACTCCATTCACCCTTGGGTGATGGTGATAGCATTTGTGCTCAACTAGCGTGCGCTCAGACGTCCAGTGAACTCGGAGCACACATTCACCCTTAAGCTGAGACAGCAGCCAAAGCTACAAGCGCGAGCTAGCCTGCACTCCTGGCTTTGAGACATGCATTTCTAGTGTGTTGCGTTGGCTATAGTCTCAGCTTAAGGGTGAACGGAGCAGGTTTAGTGTTTTTTAAGACAAAAGTTGTTAATCTTAGAACCAGACCAGTTAAATATACTGTCACAGGACAAGGTGCTCCCACAAAGCCCTCGGCTCTTGCCTTCTCAGCAAAGCAAATGGTGGAGTGGAGAGTTTCGCACTCTCACCGGCATTTGCCCTAGTAAAATGGAAAGAGTTAGGGGCTTTGCGGGAGGACCTTGTGCTGCTTTTCTTGACATGCAAAAAAGTGTAGTCTCCTTTTGAAGTTGCATATCTTGGCCCGTGTCTATGAGTTTTAGAAATTTTATCTTTAAATGCCTACGCAATGTTTCACTTTCTGTCAAAGTGACATGTTTGCTTTACCTTGAATCGCAGCTAAATCATAATGTATCAGTCCATTGCGTCGGCCTCAGAACAAAACCTTTTGTCGTCTCGGAGAAATGACGTGTTTATGATAAGGTTGTTTTGCAGTGGACAACAAGCAGAAAAAATGGATACTCTAGCGCTATTTTCTGGCAATCGAAAGACCCAGCGGCTGAGTGTAGCTTGGGGAGCTCTGCAACGACATGTAACGTCACGGAGGATGTCGCAGACAGAAATAATTGGCATTTCACCGAGAACGGGGCTTTTTTGCTCTCGGGAAAAACAAATATATGCTCTTTTTTCAATTAAAAAAAATATATATATATATATATTTTTTTACCTCGGGGTTTGGAGGAAGGGCGGTCGGCCCGCTCCCCCTTGAATCTGCCACTAGTGTAGCTCAACTACATGTCACGGTGATCTGAAACGAAATCGAGAGCTTGCCACAGCACGCCATGATCGACAGTGGAGGAAACGTAGCCTCTTCAAAAGCGTTTCACAGTCGCGGATGGTACGAGAATGAGAGGGTTACTTTCTCTAGATGCCCCGCCTCCGGCACGCACCCATTGCCCTCCACCTTGCCTCTGGTGCGTGTGCATGCTCCGAGCTCGCGATATGCAGAAGCGTTAAGCCGCGATCACAATGCTCATACCAAAGACAGAATGCAGACACTGCCAGGTGTCTGTTTCTTGCTAGTATACAATGGTCCTGTCACATTGGCCGTACAAAAACTGTCTGCAGATGTGTCCAAAGCACACATACGTACGAAGCAAACATCCTTCAACCACGCTCGAGGCACGTCTGTAGGTAAGAGACTAGTACTTCCAAAAATCCCTGCGTGTCAACACTGCGGCCTGGCTACCTCTCTGGAGTGCAGCGTGACCCTCCCAGTCCACGGATCATTTAAAGGGGTACTCAGGCAATTTCTTTGTGGTCTCCGATTTGCCTCAAATTTGGCTCAGCACACCGACACACACGGCTGTACCAGTCCCTCAAGTACTGTGTGAAAAGAAAAAATATTTATGAAGTTATAGAATTTATCTTATGTGGTTCTCATCGTGTTTCTCAAGCGGAGACCGGCAACGTCTAAATACGACTACAAAAATGTTGCAAAGTAGGCAGTAAACCACATTCTCGACTGATTACAAGACGTTTGATGGAGCAAAAGTAATGCTTAAAATCTCATTCGCTGGGGGGCACGAAAAAATGCTCTACATAATCTGTATAAGACTGCCTGCGCGGCCTGAAAGTCTGTACCATTTGTGACGTTGCACCACTGGACAGCACGCGGAAATTTGAATGTTGGTTTTGGCACCATCTTCATTTACGGTTTCCTCAATACTTATTTTGAATTTCGAAACTATAAATAGCGTGCCGTGAAGACTGAAGTCCGGGTAGTATTCAGAAAATGAAATTTGTTTGGGTAGCTCGAAAAACAGCCGAGTACCTTTTTGAAAAGCCTAGGACATTGAGACGATGGAACAGGATGATTGTCCCAGTGCACTCCTTCCTTTGTCTACTCGAGGACAAACTCTGGTATGTCGGGAGCCCCAAAAAACGTGCAGACCCGTATTGGAGGGCAAAACCATAAATTTAAGGAAAGTCACATATTCGAAAAGGTGTGCACTGTATTTGGTCGTTACAGCATGTCGTGAATTGAGGTTGGCGAATCGAAACCGAAACGGTGGCCGGAAGGTACCCAAGATGCTTTGCACGGCACTATGCCTCTAGGATTGCTTCGATTTTGCAAGAGGTGTACTCTGTCATGATGTCTGCAGGAAATGCCGTGTCCTTTGTATGACGCATGGGCAGCGTGACTACGACTTTGTAGAAGGTGCGATGCTCGCCCTGGAGGCGGGGCAACTAAAAGACTTCCTGCCGTTCTGATTCTGTCAGTGGCCATGAGTCCTTTCCTTTTCAAACTTTGTATCTTTGTAGAGTTTTTCCTCCACCACTTGCCAAAAAAGTCAGTCACTCCTGCTTTCGCATGTGGACACTTTTTAGCTTGTTCGGCGGCATTTATGGGAGGGATCGTTTATGCTTCCTTTGCAGATCTGGTTAATGCAGACTTGAAGTCTACCCTGAGGGTGCTGTACAACCTCTTCACCAAGTACAAGGACACCTAAGCAAGGTTCTTCTCCTACAGCTCCTATCCCTCCAGAGCAAAAAACAAAACTTGATGCCTCTGGAAGTCATGCACTGCCACAGCATATCTTGCATTTAGCTACTGTTATCCTCGTGCCTTACGAGCAGTGACGACTCGCGAAGCTGACATCAAGCTTTGAGTGTTTATTTAACTGAACAACTAACTTAATCTGTCTAACTAAGCGTTAGGAGCCGATACTCACACCAAAAATATGAGAGCCGCCGAGGAGCGAAACGCTTTGTACATAATGAAAAATAGCACTTTTAATAATATATTTGTAGATGTTGACATTCATGACTGTAATGTCGCTCTCCTATCCCCGCGCACAAAAGATGACTTGGCGCCTTGTTTTTGGAAGTGCCTTTTAGAGTTGGATTTACTTGTTCGCAATTGTCGAGTAATAAACCTTTATCCGAAGCTGCTGCTTCATGTTGTTTTCGGTCAGCTCACAAATTTAATAGAAATATGTGTGGTATTATACTTTTGCCGTTAAATGAGGGTTGATTGTTTCTTGAGATAAACATAAGACACAATTTATAGTAATTGGAAAATTAAGTCAGCAGAAGAAACAATATGCACATCCCATTTATTTACACACAGGATCCTCACAACTTCTTTATACATCAGTGTAGAGCTTGCGATGGAGTATTCCTGGTGCTTTCAGAGCAGTAAAAGAAAACAAGCAAGCAGAGACAGGAATTCTCGGTGTCTATATGACATGTTCAGCCGTAAAAAAACAAAGGGCATTTATGACTGGTGCTGCATGTGGCAGCTCGAACCACTTTGACACAACATGCCAAGTAATGCTGAACAAGAATGCTGTGTGACTGTTGTCAACCCTTCATATCCGTCTTAATAGTAATTTTATTGAACATCAAAATAATAATAATTATAACAGGACAATGACGACATACGTTAGCGAGGCGAACACCATGCGGCAAAAATATTTTTTGCTGATGTGTCTCGTTCGGAACATTCCAGTATATTTTTCAAAAGAGTACTCAATCACCATGAATGGACTCCGAGCAATCAGTTGGATGTGCTTGTTTGCCTCATTGCCCTCCTTGTTTCTGTGATTAACTAGCGAAACCTGAGAACCTCTTCCAATATCATTGAAAACAGGATAAACCAGAGTATATATATACAAGTTTGTTGCATGCCTATGACTGCCAAAGAACTTTCTAAGAACACACTAGGGCACATCTACAGTCTCTCATATGTTGTGCATCAAGTGGTTCTCACCGCTGGTTTCTTGATATAGTATGTTTCTAAGACATGCTATCAAGTTTTAGCTTCAGCATTTGAAGAATCTGTCAAACGACCTGTTTTCAGTCTACGTACTACGCTTTTTGTAGTGTTTTGCAATCTGTATGTTGCTTGCCATAGGATGTTGTGACAGCTACATTGTGTAAAATTATGCGCTTTGGTGCTAGTGAACTGGAGCCTCGTAGCTTTTTTTCCAGCAGTGGCGAATTGTTTTATATACTCCCTTGTAAATGCAACAAAATTACCCCACATCGTGTATGCAAATCACCTGTCAACACTATTGTGACATTCGAGGACGAGACCAGTTACATATTTTGTGATTAAAAGAAGGAAACACAGTTTCATCGGTGGTGGCAACGCACAATCGTGCCTTGTACTGCTCAGGGCCCGTTCTCTAGCATCTGATCCTCAACTTCTGCAGAAAAAACACTGTATAGACAGACACGCTGTATACAAACAAGTCTGCGTTTGCTTACGCCAGGTGTGGGCACTGCACTCACGCAGAAACTAGATCCGCATGAACCTAGCATCTGGGCATGTTCCGATCCCCTGTTGAGCCTCTGCAGTGGAGCTGTTGTTGGCACGGAACGTGCCGACAACAGCTCTACTGCAGAGGCTCGACATCAGGGCCGCCTGTCTCGAGTTCCAATATTTATATCTAACATCCGACGGGTCGAAAAGATGACAGATTCTACACGACGCCACTGGCCTCTACGCACCATTTTCGTTCTCATCACACATACGAAGCCCCCGCCCTCACCAGCTTCTATCGGTTCCGCACCGTCAGCAGGGTACCCAACGACGCGATGCAAAGAGCAAGTTTGTCTGCTTCTTTTGAAGAAGTTCGAGTCAGTCAGACCCTTCAGTCAGAGCCAACCAGAGCTTGACGTCGGAACGACCCCAAGCTCTGGTTGGCTCTGACTGAGGGATAGTGGGTAGACCTCAAAGCAAGCTGTCTTGATGTCTACCCACTATCCTTCAATTAGAGCCAACCAGAGCTCGGCGTTCTGACGTCTCTGCAACTCCTGCAGAAGAAGCAGACGAACTTGTGCTTCGCACAGCAAGCATTTTGAATCATACATTCGCTGACACGCTTAGTTACGACGAGGAAATTGCGACAATCTGTGCATAGCACTTACCTTTGAGCCGCTCATGAGAACGAAAATGGTGGATTGCCCGACGTCACTCCGGAAGGAGGAGCAATAAGGAAGCCGAGTTGAATAAATACCACCTATAGAAGACAAGGCATGACATCATCAATGGTGGATTTCTTACCCCCACCAAAGAGCAAACTTAAGCTCGACGAGAATCGCCGAAAAGTGGTAAACGCATCCGTCTCGACGACGACGCGTGCTAAGGTCGCACTTTTTGCATGAGACGCTGCAGGACGCCCTGCAGCGTCTCATGCAAAACGCAAGCTAGCCGGCGCTTGTGGATACGTTGTGTTGACATTTGGGGAGGGGAGGGGGGGTGGGGCAGGGAAGACTTGGGACTTCTAAGTGGTGTCGCCTGAATTGACCGAAAACAGTAGATTGCCGTATTCTTGTCCCATCTACCGACTCTACGGTCAGCACAACAAGAACATATCAGGATGACCTGTACCGTCCCAAGAACTCAAGCAAGTCGGGGTAGAGGTACTTCGGGTTGACGAGCGCAATGGCGAAGTGGAGGTGCGTGTAGTACGGGTCGTCGATGTAGTGGTTCTTTTTGACGCGGGGCCCTAACTCTTTTATGAGTATCTTCACGTTTTCCGGGGGCACGAACTCGTCGCCCTTGCTCCAGAAGATGCCCACGTCCGTCTTGACGTTGGCCAGCTTGTAGAGCGGGGGTCTCCGCTGCGCGGTGGAAAGCGTCAACGGTCAATATTGCCCTGACGCGCAAGAGCGCGGTCTCTCGTCTCCTAGCTTACCTGGCCGTAATATTCTTGGTTGATTTCTTCGCCGTAGTCGAACTTCTGCGGCTTTTTTGACTTCACCAACTGGGAAAAAAAAAATATGCAGGGTGTTTCATTTTAGTTCAAACAAGTCTATTAAAAAAAAAGCCGTGAAAGATACACTGATGTGATCTGTGCATGCGAGTTCTACAACCAGGGGGGCTATGTTGCGCTTTTTGCACTCCCAGGAGACTAGGGAGAGGGAAGTGACGTCAACAACGCAGCAAATGCAGATTGGATGTTGATTTTGTTTTCTTCTGTCAACATCCAATCTGCATTTGCTCTAGTCGTTGACGTCACTTCCCTCTTCCAAGTCTCCTGGGGTGCTATGTTGCGCTTTTTGGACTCCCAGGAGACTAGGGAGAAGGAAGTGACGTTAACAACACAGCAAACGCAGATTGGATGTTGACAGAAGAAAACGAAATCAACACCCAATCTGCATTTGCTGTGTCGTTGACGTCACTTCCCTCTCCCTAGTCTTCTGGGAGTGCAAAAAGCGCAACATAGCACCCCTGGGAGTGCAAAAAGCGCAACATAGCACCCCAGGGAAAATAACTAGGGCCTAATCTTCGCGATAAGTCGAATCGTTAACTAAAATTTGCGAATTAATTGTATGGTCAGTGAAAATAAACATAAGATTCCAATTATAAACCAGATTGGCATCATCATAAACCACTAAATTAGTCAATTAGAAAAAAAATGACCGCATTTCTACGTGGTGAATGATGTTGCTTGGGGCAAAGCTCTGGTGGTGCTGATGATACTGATTTTGTTCATAGGTAGTGCTGGTGGTGCTGATTTTTTTTTTTTTTTTTTTTTTTTTTTTTTTTTATTGCTTATAGGTAGTGCTGAGTTCCGGGTAGCGTTTCAACTTCATTATTACTGCTTTATGGTCCGTGAAATGCAGAGCCAGTGGTACTTCTAGCGGATCAACTTGGATCCCCTAGAAGCCGTGGGAACGAATCTCCAACCCCTAAAGTCAACGGTCCATGTCAGAAAGAGAATCTGTAAAAAATTGGTTCGCTCTTTATGTTTATACAGCCTTGATGGAGATGCGCCTCAACAGGTAATCGGTCTCTTAGCTGTAGATGAGAAATTTAGCCAGTGCAGTACAATCGCTAGCCTGGGGTTTTTAACGTGCATCACGCAGTAGTGATCACACGAATGCGTGCCGATACGAAACTCATCCAGATCGAAAGGGGCGGGGGCGGCGGGGATCGAACCCAGGAGGTTCCCAGCGCAAGCTTTCGCTCCACGCTCCGAGCTGAGACACGTTGTGGTATGAAACGTGGTTATATACGCATTTGAGCATTTGACCGCAGCGCCCTCTCGTTTATAAACGTTGAGCCAATGCATGCAAAGTTTAACGGGATTATAGACGCTTTACACACGCGCCAAATTGCAGCCGCCTTTGCTGACTTTCTCTTGTCTTTCCCAGATGCCGAGCCACTAAAGCGGGCGTTGCCAAGCCTCCAGAAAGGCAACTGCTGTGGAGAAGGACATTATAGAAACTAAAATTGCAATAACCTGCTCCCCTATGGTGACGATGAAGTGAAGTAAATGTAATAAGTGGAAACAAGAACTGAACGTCGGTTATGGCGGCGCCCATGCACAGCTGCTGCAAAGCGTCTATATACGCATTTGACCGCAGCGCGGCTACATGCAACGTTTCATCCATGACATCCCCAGCTCTTGAGTTACTACCACATCTCGGAGCCCCCTACTCGTCTCGCAGTCGTGGCGGTGGACTAGAAATCCATTGGGGCTCCCCGCACAGGTTCGAATCCTTTCGACTGCGCAAACATTTTTTTTTTCTTTTTTTTTAAGGAGACAGATGGGATGGCAATCGATGTGAGCACGGACGCCGGACAAGGCTAGACCCTAATGAGCTTCGCCCCTAAAAAAAAGATTGAAGCGTGGGGGTGCGTTGAAGTTACGACTGGTGGAACAGGCGCAAGGCTGGCGTTGCGAACACGCGGGGAATAATTTTATCATTCGTAGTATGCCGGGCGCCAGTGGTTCTTAGTAACCTTTTTACATTTTCCTCGGGAAATTGCTGCCGGCAAAGATTGCGATGCGTAAAATGAACCCTTAATTATGAATTGGGATCACCTGGTCAAAGTGAATGATGTTCTTCATCGAGGTCCCAGCAGGAACGTGGCAGAGGTATAGTGGCGTCCGAGTCTGTGAGATTCGGAAAGACAAATCAAGGAACAAGTCAGTGGTCTGAACTGGACAATGGACACTGGCGGAGCAGTGTTTGTCTGTTGACTTTTGTGTGTGTGTTTGCGCGCGTGTGTGTGTGTATGTCTGTCTCTATATCCGCATATGTGTGTGAAAACCTACTATGCTAGATTTTTAATGCGAGCACGTATAGACGATTGCAAGCAAGGCGACTGGCCGCCACTACGTCAATGCTCGTGCGGACAAGCCTGTGCAATAGACCTGTTGCAAAACATACAGCGCCACGGCGGCAGGAGATTTTGGGAACCCTCGGTACAGATCACGTGTTTTCTCGTGGCGCCTCCGCGACTGCGAGCGAGTCGTGGCAGCCTGGCGGCAGCTAATGCCATCCGCCATCTGCCGGAACGTTGCGCGTCAAGCTGTGGCAACAAGGGATGCCGCGAACTTTTTTCGAATCGAAGTTTCGATGATCGAATCAAGCGGTTCGAAAGGTTCGAAAGATTTCGATTTTTCGAATTGTCTATATCGTAAAATTCGACGGAGGTCGAATTTTCGAACTTGTTAAGCTAAGAAGTTCGACGCTTTTCGAACCGTCGAACTTATTACGCTAAAAAATTCGATCTTTTTCGAACTTTCGAACTTATTGCGCTGCAAGGTTCGATGCTTGTCGAACTTTCGAACTTGACTGACCAAAAAATTTGATAAATTTCGAACTTTCGAACTTATTTATCAAGAAAATTCGAAAAGTTTCGAACTTTCGAATTCTGAAAAGTCAGAAGTTCGACGAACTTCGAACTTATAGGGTAAAAGTTCGACGTTCGTCGAACTTCGAAAGACCGACGGACGGTTTCATTTGATTTCAAGTAGTGGGGTACATTCGTAATTTTTTTTCTCGAACTTTTACACGCGGTGCTGCGTTCCTTACGAAAGACAATGTCATTTATTTCAATGTTCTGGCATGCTTAGGTTTAAAGAAATAAATCCCCGAAGGGGCGAGGAAGGACGACGGGTTTTTGACGATTATCGTTTGTGCCAGATTTGAAGCACGCTGCAGCCGGAGCTATTTATGGTAGATATGTTATACTTTTTTTTAAGAATGATCTATGTATAGCGTAGGCAAGTGCCGCCTTAAGATGTGATTATTGTTATTCAACGTGAGTTTCGAAGAAATGTCCAAACATGTATCTGCATGCAATTATGACCTAAACTTGATATTTATTTTCGTCTAAGTTGTTTGAGGTATCGCATTTAAATTAACACCACAGACAGTACAGTCTCCGGCGATATGAAAGACCCACTGGGAGCGCGTGGCTGAGGCGGTGGCTGGCGGGGGCGCTGCGAGCGCTCCGGGCAGTTCCGTTCTGCTTCGAGGGGAGGACGCTCACTCTTGGCTCAGCTAAAGCGCGCGCTTATCAGTTTGTGCTGAGCCCCGAGTGAGCGTCCTCCCCTCGAAGCAGAATGGAATTGCCCGGAGCGCTCGTAGCGCCCCCGCCAGCCACTGCCTCGGCCACGCGCTCCCAGTGGGTCTTTCATATCGCCGGAGACTGTACATATCATTGCCATCTGCAGAATACAAAATAATATATTTATTGTTTTTTCACGTTAAGGAATAAATTAACTCATGGCAGAAGACTTCTAGTAGTGTTCAAGTTCAGCACGTCATTAAAAGAAAACTTTTTTTTTTTTTTTCGCTTCACGTTCCTGGGACGTGTTTCTTTTAGCCTGTACACATTTTGGTAAAAGAAACTTGTTTCGAAGTTCTGAACCTCTGAATATGCAAGAATAGAACACTTCCGACGAATTCTTGATAGTTTTTTTTTTTCTCCTGAGCTTTATTCCCGCATTTATTCTTTTTTTTTTTTTTTTTCTTTTGTTACTATCGGCACAGGTGTTTAGGTTGAAAAGACAGCTTTGAACTTCCGAACCACTAAGCATGTGACGAGCAGTGCCTTCTGACAACGAGTTTCTAACAATGACCATCTACGCAACCTTTTATGCAGTGAAGAGCGACAGTAGCTATACATATGCATAAATAATTTCAGATTAAAATAAGCTCGACCACGCCCTCTTTCCCCGTATTGTTTTCTTTAACAGTCCGAAATACCTGCAAGGGGGAAAAAGAGGCTGAAGCCCCCCCCCCCCCCCCCCCCCCCCCCCCGCTACCCTCTTTCCCCCCGTTTTTCCTCTTCCGACGCCACTTGTATGGTAGAACGCTCCTCGACCTCGAGTTCTGTCGGCTTTTGTGCTTTTTGCGAGGCGATTCCTCCGTCCCAGAAAATAAACCTCCAGTACAATTATAAACTTCACCGGATCGGATTACTACCAGCGTGCAAGGGGTGGCGAGCTAGTTTGCCAGGTCGCTTCAAGGTTTCTCTGAGCCTCAACCTCCTGCTCGCCCCTGGCCGTTTCGAACTGGATGAGTCTCGTAAAACAGTGTTCGTGCAATCACTACTGCGTGATAAAGACCCCCCCCCCCCCGGGGGGCTGGCGGTCACAATTCTGCACTGGCAAATATTCTAGCACGTCCGGGACACTCGTCGTCTCATTTAATTGCCTTACCAACTTCGCAGAATCTAGATATCACACCCTAACTTTTCTAAACTTGATTTTGTGAAAACAAGTGAGTCGTGAAAACGTTATTTAAAACTGAAACTGTAGAAAAACTTGAAAATCGGACTTCAAACTTTGAAAACTTGGATTAAAAAAAATTCAAAATCTTCAAAGTTTTTTTTTTTTTTGAATTTAGCGTTAAAAGAGAATCGAAACTTTCGAACTTTTCGAACTTTATGCCAAAAGAAATTCGAAATCTTCGATTTGTTCGAACTTCATGTCTATAAAAATTCGAAGCGTTCGAAGTTTTCGAATTTTTTTTACAAAGAATTTCGAAATCTTCGAATTTATCGAACCTGAAGTAAAAAAATATTCGAAATATTCGAATTCGAAATTTTAGAAACCGTGAAAGCTTCGAAATTTTCGAATTCGAAACTCCGCTGTGGACAAAAGTTGCGAATTTTTCGAAATCGAACCTCGGTCGGTACGAAAATATCGAAATTTTTCGAAATCGAACCTCAGTTCGCTTCGCAAATATCGAAACCTTTCGAAATCGAACCTAGGGTGGTTCGCGACATCCCTAGTGGCAACGTCGTTGCTGTGGCAGCGTAAACTCGTTGCGACAGGTGAAGCTATCCACTTACTGAATACGTAATGCGTCGTAACTTATGCCTTCACGTCTTGCAGTGTCACCGAATCCATTTATTTTGCACCGCAACCGTGGCAGGGTTCGACTATGTTCAACAAAGCAATAGTGTACCAGACGGCGGCACCGGTACAAAGGCGAGAGATAAGAAAGGGGCAGCCTCGCAAGCTAGCCAACGTAAAAAGCTCGAGGTACACCTAAGCACTTCTTATGAGTTGTGAATGCGAAAGCATGCAAGCCGCTCGTCCGCTCCCTTTTTCGTCTGCTACATACTGTTCGTCGCTGGTCAGCGCACGTGCTCCACCAGGCACGCTTACCTTGGACACTCCGTGTTAACGGCGCGCTGATGGACATGCAGCGCCATGGGGGGAACGGTCGTGGAAACTGACGAGCGCAGCAGCCAATGGGAGCCCCGTCGATGCGCGCCAGCCAATGGAACCTTTGGGATCGGGGAAACTAGGTGCCGTTTTCGCGCTTCATACTGCTGACGTCAGCTCCCTCCATGGGACAGTTAAAGGGACACTGACACCCCCCAAAATTTTGTTTTCCTTTTTTGTCACGTGATTCATTATGGTGTCGGAATGCGACCCAATTAATATTTTGCTACAGAGCCAAGTACTTTTTAAAAAAGCCAAAAAACGCAACTGCTCGAAACCGAAACTCCCGCACCCCATGGAGAAGAGAGGATAGATTGAGTGGCGGAAGTCACATGGCTACACCCAAACGTGCGGATTTTTTTTTTTTTTTTTCACCCGTGCGATTCCTTTGCAGTTATGTTTGTTCCGCTCACTGTTCTGTACTTCAAGATGAGTTGTTTTGTACATTTAAGTGTTGGCAATTAGTAGTGAGTGCCCGTGGTGAATTTCCGTGATCGGCTCCGGAAAGAATACTCCCAAGATGTTGCGTGAAGAGCTGCCTCACATACCTATGTCCTGCGTCTGAAAGTGGCATCGTGCGGCAGAGCACACAAGTTTCAGAAATATCGACGGATCGGGATCAATGGCTGGCTGCAATTCCTGTAGAACAGTTACGCGAAGCTCGGAAAGCGGACGCTACCCGATTTATATGCTCCTTGCATTTTTGTGGAAACTGACTACATCGAGTTCACAGGTGTCAAAAATGGAATCCCATACCATTTAGAACAGCGACGTATCGTCCACAACAATTGTTGGTTTTTCAGTGATAATTGTAAAAACTTCCGACTGTATGTCGGAAGTTTGCTGCCGATTTCCTTTCAATACATGCGCTCCTGGCTTGAAGTCGGGCAGCACCACGGATAGGCCACATTCGCACCTCGTAAAGAAACCGTACGCGTGCGTATTCAACTCGAAGTACGCACTTCGTGCTTGATGTTTGAGCGAGCGATGTCTTCAGCCCCGAGAAGGGACGACGACTCGGCGACGTCTTCGTGCAATCGGCTTGCTGGTCGGGCGTGTCATACGGGATGAATATCAGTTCTTTTGATCGGTCCAAAATTTCTGTTTTCAAGGAAGACAGAATTTGCCGGTACCGTGAACGTAAGTTCTGAAGTAAAGGTCCAACGTCCGTCGTCCGCTGCGCAATTGCTCGAAACCAAAACCGAAACCCCCGCACCGCACGGAGAGGGGGGAGGAGAGAGGGAGTGGCGGAAGTCACGTGGTTACACCACATCGTGCGAGATACATATATATATATATATATATATATATCTTTCTCAGATCACGGCGTATCGCAAGATTGAAATCCCTCAAGAGAGGAGGAGGCAAGAAGGGGAGGAGGAGGCGCATTCCCTCCTCTCTGAACCCTCCCCTCCTCCTACTCAAGAGTGGGAAATTTACCGAAAATTTCCCGCTAAATGGCAGGGAGGAGAAGAGGAGGGTACTCAGAGGAGGGTATGCCCCTCCTCCTCCTCCGTACCCTTCCTTCCTCCTCAAGAGCTGCGCTCTAATTCAGCATTACAGGGAATTGTAAACGTCTTTATTTTTCATTTGTTTGTTTATTGTTTTTAATACTACTGCGTACTCATCTGAGTCCAAGCAGGAGTGAACAACATAAACGACGCCGAGAAAAACGTTGGGAACAGCAATACAAGGCATAAAAATAATACACCACCTAGCAAGGATTATGTTTATCAGTAACAAAAGATTTTCGCAAGGGCGAACTTCTCAAATTTGTAATTAATGTTTCTACATTTTAACAATCAACAATCTTTGACAACTGATTCCATGCAATCATTGTCTTGGCGGAAAAACACGAAAGTTTTAATGCATCAGATGCGTGAAACAACGCTAATCATTTTTCCGTTGTTAAAACCAATATCTGCTCACGACACTGGAGTGATGTAAACAGTGTGATCTATTCGAGTCAAACCATGATATATCGTGTACAAAAAGTTGAACCTCTTTTCTAAGTGCATATCTTCAAGCGTTTCAAGATCTAGTTAATTAATCATATAGTCACGCCGTGCGTTCTTCTGTGCCGACTGCAAATAAACCTAGCTGCAATTATCTGTACTTTTTCGAGCTTAGATATGTTAGTCATGGTGTAAGGAGTACTCCAGGCATAGTCTAATCAAGATTTTGTAAGCTGCAAGCGTCACTTGCATTGGGGCTCTTGAAAGCTTACTTTGGATTTCCCAAAGAGCCCTAAGAGCACTAGACGATGTGGTTATTCTAATTTTAAGTGTTGAGTGATGGTTACTCCTAGGTATTTATCTGCAGATAGTTAAAAAAACTTGTTTCTTATTGCAAACTTGTTTCTTATTGCAGACTTGTAGAACAGAGCACTTGTTAATGTTCAAACCCATTTCCCACACCAGATTTAAAAGAAAAAAAGATTAAAATAATTTCGGGATTGAAAACGGTTAGATGTCCTAAAGGCTAAAACCGACCCCTGGCGCACTCCTGGCGTGATTGGTAGCGTGTCTCAGGGGCGGCTATCAATTTGGACATACTGAACGCTGAACATACTGAACATACATACTGAACACTGAACATACTGAATATTGAAATCTAATGAAATCAATCAGCTTACGGTTAATTCCAATCTTGTAAACATGTTTTAAAGAAGTTTGCTGCTTTTGGACTTTCTAAATGAAAGAACGTTGGCATGGGCAAACTAAACAAGATTCGGTATAACAGCGCGCAGCAATAAAATTTTAAAATAATTGATTACGCGTGTGGACGCAAAACACCGAAAGGCCAAACGGCTCAAACAACCAAGAAAAAAAAAAGGGGGGAAAAAAGTATTAACAGCGAGCACTCACCTCGTTAATGTACCTGCTTCCATAGTTCGTAAGGGTGTCCCCGATCAACGAACAGACGATTCTACTTGTAATGAGCGAGCAAAATCTTCGGGCGATGGGCATGAAGGGAGAACCCTGGGCCAACACTTCGTACTGTCCCGCCGCATTGACGGCGCGCTGATCGGGAGAGAACAGACACTCCACAATGACGTCGGTGCACAGAGCAGGTCAGCCATAGTCACTGTCAATATATGAGAAGCGCAGGGTGCGGCCCATGAAGAGTCACACTGTTCCCACATCCTACGAAAGACATTCGGCGTTCCTATATTGTCTGTCATGTCGCAATCCCATTGGCCGCGGAGCTACAATGAGATGCAGCCATACAGACAAAAGGACTGCTCTGGCAGAATCACATTTCAGAACGGAACGCCTGTCAGGTTCCTGTATACGTGTAAAGGCGGATTGGAGTGAACCTATATACAGCTTTCTAACGCTTATCACGCAAGCAAAAAAAAAAACTGGCGAGTCGCTGAGGTGTGGACGCATGCGCGACGTCTGACATATCGCAGGACAGAGCGCACGCTCCGAGGGCGTTCCACAGCCCATTGTAAAAATGTCTGAAGCACTGCACAATGGTGGAGCGAGCGACATCACAGAATGTGAGATTTGAAAGTGTGATTATTAGAGTTTTGGTGGGGTTCCAACATTGGTGACGTTTTTTGTGTCCGCCATTGTGCAGGGAATCCACAGCCTCCACCAGAGGGCACACTTTCGAAAGGGGCCTATACAGACTACGTACCAGGAACGATTCCGCGAATGGTGCAGCGAGTTCCAGCGGCGGCACGATCATGTGGGCCAGTTTGTTGAATGGCGCCAGCCCCGCAAACGCCTTCACCTGAATGAAATACCCGAGAACGAAGGGTATATATCGCATGATCAATCGCCACACGCGGATTTTCCGAAACCGCAAACCTCTCCTCTAGTACTTTTTAAAAAAGAGCGTGTGGCCGGTGTCATTTTGAGTGTTCGTGCGCAGGCGCGTGCTCTGCTCGCTTTCCGAAGTGACGAACACGCACGTGTTGGGTTGTGAAGATGGCATGCGCTGGACTGTGATTTTGTAGACATTGGAAAGGTCTATACTCAGGCGACAGTACACTTGAACGTGCTTTACAACAGATGTGTGATGATGCGGCAGGATGCACTCAGTGCGGAGTCTGTGTCAGCGTATGCAATCAGCACCAGGTCTAGAATACAAGGCCTGCGCGTGACGTCATCATTTGTGGAACTCCGATGCTCCCCAAGCTCCTCCCTCTTTCGAATTTAGCCGAACGAACTTTGGAGAGGAGGTTGCCTCCTCTCCAGCGTTCGCTCTGCTAAAGTGCAAAGAGGTGGGAGGGGCTTCCCCTGAACTTTTAACCAGTCACCGACGATGGGTGGTATGGATATCAACAGTCGTAGGCCATGGCACAAACATCAGACCACGAGCTAGACGCTTGGTCGGGCTGCAAAGGCGCGCCTCAACACCGAACGGTGCAACTTTTACGAGCATTTCTATTTTTATGGTACGAGCTCTAGCTGTTTGATTCCCACGGAGTCTTGATTCTGTGTATAATTTATAATTAAGAGTGCATAAGAAATAATTACTCCTGGAAATAAATAGTACCGCAGTACCTTATATATTTGTTGTGCGCCGATGTGCCGATCTCATTTCGTTACTCAAGATACTTTATTTCAATTTTGGGAGTAATTTGGTATCTTGCAAAAACATTTAATCGAGAGTATTGTTTACTCTATCTAAACTAGATTTCTCGGTATCGTGTACTCATTATCTCAAATAGATTTTTTTTTAATCTTTCAATAAAATTGTCGTGAGAATATTTTACGGGAATAGGAATCGGCACACCGGCCCAACGCAAAGTTGAGCCAGTTGCATAACTTGAAGCGGAAATGGCAGAACACCGAACAGGAAACTAGCCAGGACCAGAGATGCAAACTCAAAATGCAGAAAAATATAGAAGGAAATTAGAAGAAAACACACACAAAAAAGCTGTTTTTTGTTTGTTTCTTTCTGTCTCATTCTACTGCTGCAAGAACTGTGATAGCCCGAACCAGGCCCGACCCTTTCATGAGGAACAGAGATTGCAACAAAGAAGGAAGCCAGCTGAGATCAGAATGAGCTCTAGTACAAAACGGTGCATCCAAGTCGTGCATTATAAAACCACCAGAAAATGTATGTCTTTTTGCTCGTTTGTCTTAAAAAATTAATCTTGTAACATGAAGCGGTGACGCTACTTCTTGTACTGGAGCTGCATAGAAGAACACTTTTTTTTCTTCTCTAAATGGATGCAAATAAAGCGCTCTGACTGTTGTCACAGAAGTCTATGCAAAGTATGCAATCCGCAATTTCTAAACGCATAATGCGTCAAAAAAGCGGCAGCATTTTTTTTTTTTTTTTTTTTTTTTTTTTTTTTTTGTTATTGCTTATGCCGTCGCTAAAAGTTTTTCGCCAAATTTTGCGAGGAAATTAGACAGATCTCACCATTCAGTTTGACTACGCCACCGCTGCCGCAATGCATCGGGGGAACTTTAGTCTCCTTGCGCATGCGTCAACCTCGCTGGAGCTCTGCGCATGTAGAGCACAAGACGGCACAAGCCCCCGCATGCACGGCTGTCCGCCTCTTGTAAACTAAAGTTATGGCGGCGTCACGCATGCGCCAAACGCTTAGTGAGATCGGTCTATTGGTGACTAGGTAACGTGACATCAATTTTTCTGCTAAATTTAGCGGAGTAACTTTTTTATGTCCGGGTTTCTTCAGTCAGGGCTAGCGGCGCACAGTCGCAGTTGCGAATAGCTTAGCGGAGAGAGGAGAGCGATTCACGGAAACTCCCTAATTTTCTCGCCAAACTTAGCGGGGAAACTGAATTGGTGCATAGGTCACATGACGTCAATTTTTCCGCCAAATTTAGAGGGGAAACTGAATTGGTGAATAGATCACGTGACGTAATTTCTTCCGCTAAATTTAGCGGGGAAGCTGCATTCGTGTGTAGGGCCCGTGATGTTAGGTCACGTGCCATCAAATTTCCCGTTAATTTTAGCGGAGAAACTGAATTGATGCATACGTCACGGGACGTCAATTTTCCGCTATATTTAGCGGGGAAACTAAATTCGCTTATGCTCACGCCGTCGCAAATCCGAAAAATCGGATGCTAAAAAAGTGTTAAAAAAGTCTGTGCCTTGTCGTTGTACTCTGGCTTCTCGGACATCATCGTGAAGAACATGAGGGTGCCCTGAGACAAGCCGACGTAGAGAAGACTCTTCCTGTTCGTCACGTTCAGGATGTAGTCGATCTGAGCCGGGGCATCGTACTTGGCGTGCTCGTGAAACCTGCAAGATGAAAGTGTAGTAGAACAAAACAAAACAAAAATTATGCATCGCTAAGGTTCTTAGCGAAGCATCAACTGCCACTCTGAGATATTCCAAGAGATTCCTTTCAAGTTCTTCCTGCGAGCTTGGACTGTGTTCACATTTTGAATAGGAGGCGTTCAGGAGAGGTTTGGAGAACTGAAGCGTATTCGAGACGTGCGCGACCAAAAGCGTCGCTGTGGTCGGTCTTCCACGATTGGTCAAACGCTCACTACAAAGTTTTGAGTAAGATTAATTCTATACTTTCATTAAGTAAAGGGTATGCTGCAGGCTGCCAACTTTGACGGTATTAGTTTCAGGACGCGATTATTATACGATTCCACCGCGTTGCTGTTGTTGTTGTTGTTGTTTTTACACACACCGCCGAAATTGTGGTTGGCAATCGATAATCCTGGTCGTGACGCCACCAATAGGCACCATAAGAGGGAGCCACCAAAATAGGGTTTACTGGGTGTACTAGAAGGGGAGGTGTGAAAAGCGCGGCCCTTTTCTGTGGTGCCTCCGCTGGTTGATGCCACTAAGGGTAAATTTGGCGCTGTACCTTGCGGCGCCGTATGCAGTTGAGTTGCTCCGTGGTAGGATATTCTATAACACCTTATCTCTTCTAGAACCTTTCTAGAACACCCGATCAGTGGCTCCTGGAGCTGTCAGGGTTACGGTCGCATCAGTCTTACTCGGCTTTCTTGTAATAATATGCCATAACTTCCACAAAAAAAAAAAAAAAAAAAAAGCCACGCTGGTGTTTTGTGCTGGGGTGCGATGGAGGAGATACAAGTCGTGTGGGTATGAGCTGTCCCTTTTTCGTGCACCGAGAAACCCCGACGCTTTTCAGAAGTGGGCCCGCGGCTGACAAGCCTCTCCATGAAACCCCCGCCGTAAATGCGAAAGGCATTTTGACGACGGGTGGATCTGTGCACTGCCTCGCGCTAGTGAAGTAGAAACCGCTACAATTGCTTAAATAAAGAAAAAGTACCACGTTGATAGCAGTCACGAAAAATAATACTCCAAGTGTTACGCAGGCCGATGTAACAAAGCTGCAAAACACACAAGCAGTCGCCGCGCTTTCTCTCGCTGCGTTTCCGCCCCTGCAGCGCCCCTCTCCAAGGCGCCACCATGCGGTATCCGCACGCACCGAGACCAATCCTCGGCCTTCGCTTTACACACCACCCTTTGTAGAGACGAAAACATCTTGAATAGGGAGTATTCAATGGCGGCCATAGCTGAGTTCGCGGCTGCTGAGTGCGCGCCGTCGGCGAGCTTCTACAGTTCTTTTGTAACGTGCATTCCACACCATCAAGGGTGCCGTTCTTGGCAGCCTATAAATGTAAGCTCGTTCTGAGCATGCGCAATGAACAGCACACTCAAATATGGCGTCCAGTGAATACCCCTATAGAGAGACGTTCTCCTTCTCTTGGTGTCACCTTTCGTATTCCTCAGTCGCGGGTTGCTTCGAAATGTTCAATATACAACAGCTCACTTGCGCCTTTACGTTCTGTAACCCTTGTCAGTGGCCTAGCCAGGAATTTTTTTCGGAGAAGGGAGGGGGGGTTGAGATGGCTGCCCGGAATATCCATGACTTGGAATGCGGATGGGTGGAGGGTGGAGGTAAAAATGCATGTTTATATTACAGGGTCGGCTGGATGTGTCCTCATCGGCACGAATTGTGGGGAAAACAACTTATCGTCCACCATAAAGAGCAGTTTTGTTGGTGAAAAGGGAATCTGGTGAACGCTCGCTGTCAACAACTCAACCGCAAAGCACAGAGCTATATGGCTGCCTTTGAATACTTTTTATAGAATGCTCCTGGTAGGCTCCATTTTCAGAGTTTGTGCGTGTGTCGCGTGTTTTGCTCGCCTTCGGAGGCCACCAACACGTGATCTGTGGAGATCGCACGCTGGACTGTAGATTTGTAACCGTGGTGCGACCCAGGTTTGCGAGTGGAAAATTGACCGACTCACGAGAAGTTCCAGAACCGTCTCGATTTGGGGCTGTATCTCTTGTGACGTTTGCCGTACGTATTTCCTCGCGTGTTGCCCAGCCAGACGTCGTACTTGTTGTCGGCCAGGACGTATCCTGAAATCATCAATCGGGACTTCAGTTCACCGCGTTCCTTTCAGTCGAAGATTGCAGACCTAAGGTCGATCAGAACGCGACAACCTTAGACGTTGCTTCAATAAACATCAGCACTCGCGTACGCAAATCACTTTTCCACCCAACCCAACATTGCTGCTCGCGAACGATAGCGGTGAACACCGAAACCTAGACTTCTACTAATAATACGCAAGACAATGTGACGTCTATATACCGCTTTCATGAAAGGTGACTAGTGATGACAACAGTGCGCCACGATCACGTCACAGCCGCCTAAAATTATACTTTAAACTAAGATTAGTCCCTTTTATCACCACGTAAGGACTGCCCAAGCCAAACATAAAGCTAGTATGAAAACTTAAGGATCCTGCGAAAACGAATGAGAGACATAAGACAATACCGACGACGCGTCCCGAAGAATCTAGGGCTTTTAGACAAATTAGTTAAATGTCGGTTGATACCATGGCTCTTGCAGAAGGTCATTTGCATTTAGAAAGGAGTGACTCTAATGTGCCATTACCCAGTGATTGCTTGGGGAAGTCGAGGACAAAAGAGGCCGAGTCGGCGAGTAGTCCGGTCATGACGAAGATGGGTTCTCTCTTGCAGGGTTCCGGACAGGGTGCTCGACCCCGTGGGATGCGGTGCATCTCGATGATATAGCCATCCCTGGTTACCACGTCATGCCGTTCGAACGGGTACCCTTCTCCCTTGATGAGACCGCTCTGCAAAGATTCAAAGACCCAATTAGACCGTTGTCAAAAATGTGCGTTTGCTTAGGACTGAGTTCTTGCGATCTCTTACGACGAGAGAAAACACTGGCATGCTGGCGCCATCTGTGAGGTGGCCCTGGAATTAGATTTCATTAGAGCGAAGAGTCGGCGGTATCTGCGGGATCAAATACACGTTACTACCTTTGAGAAACCATCGTTTATAACATTGTCAAAAGCTTTTCAAGCCAAGAACGAAAGATGGACGCTCGAAAAATATAGCAAATATACGGAAACTGCAAGTGTTCCACGGCTACTTGAAAGATGGGCTGCTTCGGCATTCGGCATGAAATCGGTTCGGGTCGTACGGGAAACGAGTGCTGCATCAGAAATCGGCGCGAACTCGGATACAATATAACGTTTCGTGCCGCTACATTTAGCGAAAAAATTGACGTCATGTTACCTCAACATCAAGTCAGTTTCTTCGCTAAATTTAGCGGGGAAAACGATGTTACATAACTTCGTGTCACGTCATCCATGAACAAATTCAGTTTCTCCGCTAGATTTCGCGGGAATATTGACGTCACGTGACCTCAACACCAACTCAATTTCCCGCTAAATTTAGCGGGGTGGTTACGCCGACGGCGACGCCGCTCAACGCGGAAACGGGCGTCTAAGAGCTGCGCTCTAAAAAAACAAAAGTCAACAATGCACTCAGATTCGTTAGCAATTTTACGGTAGATTATACGGTCGTCGGAGAATAAACTAATGGACGAGGATACACCCATTGGTAGGCTATTAATACGAATAAGAAGTAAAAGGGGCCCTAAAACGGACTGTTGGGGAACACCAGAAGTAGCAGGGCTGAGATGAGAATTAGCTCCATTGGTAGTAACAAACTGCGAATGATCAGTTAGGAAACATTGAACCCATGACAAAACACTCGGGTCAATCTTAAGTGTAGGCCTACTGAGTTTAAAAAATAATAGTTTGTCGGAAACTTTGTCAAGCGCATTGCAAATGTTGAGGAAGATGCAGGCAACGCGGGATGCATGATCAAGAAGGGAAAGTAGGTCATCGGTGAAAGTTGTTGAGCTTCGCAGGACAGTGAATTGCGAAAACCATGTTGTGAAGTTAAAAAGAAAGAACTGGAACCTAAAAAATTAACGAGATTAGAGTAAATGATGTGCTCCAAAACTTTACAAGGCGCGTGCTGGTTAAATAAATGGATCGATAGTCAAGGTTCATCCCGTAGAGTCCGAGGAGCGGGATCGAAATCTTTAAGAGGAAAGGTGCAAGTCTCATTATGAGGAACCCAAAAACCGAGGTAAATGAAAAAAATCGAGGCTCACGCAAAACTTTTTACAGGTGGTATTTTTTTACCTTATCATAAAAGACCTTTTTATTTTTATTTTTGCTTGCGAGTTGTTTTCAGTCAAATAAATGCCACAAGTACCTACAATGACTTTTTTTTTTCGTTTGACGTCGGTTCATATACACAAAATCGGTTCATATACTTTTTTTTTTTTTTTGATTCCTCGGTTTAAGTAACATCATGTTCTTAAAATTTTGAATTCTATTGCCACCGCTAGCGTCACAATTATCCGGATGTTTCAGCTTTCTACGACGCATGGCTTATATAAAAACCAAAAAAACGGTTTGTTAGTTTTTATTTTACTCTGTACTTCCCTGCAGCGCAAAGGCGTCATGTGGCGAAGTCGCCATGCCATGCCTCCGCAAAGCGCGGAAATTTCTTCGGTTTTGTGGCGCCGCGGGGTGCGCGTAGGAGCACTCGGCAAATACGACGAAAACCATGTAAGACCATAATTGTCAGTCAGGGAAAGGAAACACCGAATGAAGTGCTCCTTTTGGCAAGGCAACCTCGAAGCACGCGATCGTGTGGGGTGACGCGTGAATCAACCGGAGATTGCTCGAGAACCAATTTCTGCCTCCATCTGTGGACAACGCCGAATCTGATACATTTGCTGAGCAATCAACGCGTTAATTAAACACCACATGAAATGAATACGCTGCTTCTGTAATACCACTGTTCAAAATTCGAGCGAATGAGTTAACGGGCGAACTACTAATATAATGTCTAGCATGCGAAAACAAGACAAAAAGAAAAGTTGAATAACGAAGTGGAAAATAAAAATCAAGGTCACTTAATTCGCGATATAAATCAGACCAGTTTTATTATGATGACAAATCAAAACATTCCGAAAAAAATCCCGAAAATATTTTTAATTTACCAATTAGCAATTATTTAATTATTTTTTTACGTGCATTTGTTTATATTTAAATAAAAATTATCAAGAAATATATTACGCTGAACACGGGCACAAAGCGGTACTCTTCTGGGAGATCGGAGTACTGTGCTTGACTGTCTACTTTGCACTTCGTTCCTCAGTTACTCAAAGCAAATCAAAATTCGCACCAGAAACCAAATGTAGCTTTTTAAATAACAAAAAAATTCGAGCTATTTTTGTTCTAATATAGCGGGTTTACATCAGTAAGAATGTTGTTAATTAAACTATAGATTAGACTTACTTTAATTATTTCTTTAGCATTATTATCAGTCATCGGTCGGATTGGTCAATGAATCAGCCGTGTGTGAAAATACATCTTGTGATAAAGAATCGCTATTTTAGAGCTACGGTGACATAAATCAAATTAATCTTATATAAAAGATATAAATAAAAAAAATTGCATATAAAGTTATTTTATTCCGCAAGTTTTCGTCTCCATTAAATTACCGCCCGATATCACTGACTCGCATTTCCAGCAAAATCATGGAGCATATCATCTGCAAGCACCTTATTGACATCCTGGACTCGTGCGAATTCTTCACCAACGCTCAGCATGTCTTCCGCAAACATCTTTCATGCGAGACCCAACTTCTTTTTTTACTAACGATCTTTTTTAAAAATCTTGACTCTCGCTTTTTTACTTACTTTGTTTTTCTTGACTTCGCTAAACTATTTCACAAAGTCCCACATAACCGTTTATTGTTTGAATTCTTTTCACTAAATATATAACCCCAACTTTGAAAATGGATTGAATCCTCCCTTAGCCATCGCTCTCGATTCGTTTTAGCTAACACCACTGCTTCCTCCTTAGCTCCCGTTTCTTCCGGCGTTCCGCAGGGAACGGCCCTTTGCTTTATCTAACATATATTAACGACTTCCCTCTTCAACTCTCGTCGTCCATTCGCCTTTTTGCTGATAATTGTGTTATTTACCGGCTAATAAAAGCTCCAAACAACCATCTCGTTCGTCAGAATAATATGAACAAAATTACTGACTGGTGCCGTACCTGGCAAATGTCTTTGAATGTTAACAAGTGCATGCATCTACCCTCTGCACGCTCATCTTCTCTGCCCATACCTACACTAGCACGTAACGAGATTTTGCTTCCGACACGCATTGTAAGTATCTAGGTCTGCATTTAGCCCCTAACATATCCTGGAATATGCTCATATTGATAAAACAATTTCGTCGGCGAATCAATCACTTGGTCGTATCCGTCGTAATTTTAAATCTGTTCCTTCTCACCTAAACGACTTCTTTATATCACTCTTGTTCGTCCTAAACTAGTAGAATACGCTTCATCTATATGGCACCCTCACCAGTCTGACCTGACTCATGCAATCGAAGCGATTCAAAAACGTGTTGCACGCTTTATTCTCTCCGACTTCTCCCGTTTTTCAAGTGTTACTGCAATGAAATCACAACTAACCCTTCCCGACCATTCCTCGCGTCGTAAATATTCCCGGCTTTGCCTTCTTCACTAAAGTTTATTATTCTTCCCCTTTAAGAGTCCCTTCTTAGTCCTCCCAGTTATATATAAGCAAGACTCAACCACTCACGCAAGATTGCTCGACCCAAGACCAAATCTACAGCCCACCAGCATTCACTTCTATCCGAAACTATTGTGTACTGGAATGGCCTTCCCGATAACATCGTCACCATCACAGATAACATCAAATTTCGCTTCGCACTAATCACCCACTCCCCACTGTAATGATTCTCGGGGCCCTGAGGTTATTTTGTAGACAAACAAATAAATAAATAAATAAATAAATAAAACCATGATTTTTTTTTCAACCATGTCGATCACCAAGTATTGTTCGCGTCAGTTCCTTTGCTAGAACTATGGTGCCTGGAACGCGTCTCCGACTGGTGTGTTTACCGCGGCCAAAAAAAGTGGTACCTCGATTTCCGCCTGATGACGTCATAGAAGTGTCATGCTGTCGCCGGTTGCGATCCTGGCGGCGTCCTAACGGTTGTGGTGTATATGGCAGACGCCTGTTCTGCTGCAGGTCGCTCTCCACTGTGACAGTCCACGGAAGCTACAGCAGCTGGAAGTTGGGACGCCTGGGACGCCGTGACGACAGCGACACTCGCGTTCGCTCGCGCTTTTCGCCAGCATCTCTACGACCAATCGCCAGGATCGCGACAGTCAACAGCATGACACTCCGGCTTCTGTGACGTCATTTGTTGCCACTTCGGGACCACTTTTGATGTATGGGCGGGATAGGACGCTAAACACAACAGTCGAAGACGCGATCCAGGCACCATACTATAGAACTACCATTCTCTGTCCTCTTATGTTAACGTATTTCAACAGTGGTTTCTACGTTAAACAAATAAAAAAAGAAATAAAGACCCAAATTCAAGATAACGGACTAAGGACCATCAACCAGGTGCAGGATGGAGAATAAAAATCAAGGTGATTTATATCGTGATTTAAATGAGACTGATTATTTAAATCAAACCTTTCACACCAAAATAATCCCCAAAAATATTATTTTAGTATTTCACCGTTTGTTGATTATTTGATGCTTTCTATTGGCATCAATTTTCCGGTGAAATCAAGGTATTGTAAATCAAGTACTGTTTATATTAGGCTGAACACGGATCAAAGCAGTGGTTTTCAGCAAATCACGACGTTCATCTTTCTTTCTGCCAATCACTTTTCTCTTGCAAGTAAATAAGGAGGCGGCAGAAAGAAAC